TTAGATTTAACAGATTTGGAAGACAAGACTTTTATATATCCATTGTGAAAACGTTTTTGATTACAGTTAAATTGCAGCTTGATACCTATTTATTTTAGATATAGTACAATTAATATTATTCTAGTTAAATGATTTTAATCAATTTTTCTTCGCAGCATCTTCTCTTCTAGAATTCATAAGCATGTTGAAAAATAAAAAAAAAAAACTGTGGCGCCTATGCGATCTACTAATGCCTTTTTTTTTTTTTAGGTTTTTTTTTTTTTTCTTCTAAATAAGAGTAATATTCCATCCGCCATCTTCTAATGCGTTTTTTTGTCTCTTTTACTAAAGATTAAGAATATCTTATTCTTGCCACCCTCTCCTGTTCATAGTCATAAATGACCAAAAATTCTTTTCCTGACAGCGGTATTGATGAGATAAAATCTATAGCTATCATTGGAGCAGGCCCCTGTGGCACTGGTGCTTTGAAAGCGTTCATAAAAGAAGGAAGATTTGGTAGAATTCAAGCATTTGAAAAACGTCCAGATCTTGGAGGATTGTGGAATTACACAGTCGAAACTGACGAAAAGTCTACTCCGGTTCCATGTGAGAGCCCTTCTTTGGATATCGACCCTGTATTCAATGAAAACACAGGAAATTTTGTTTGGCCGTCTCCAGTTTATGACTATCTAGATACCAATGTACCTAAGGAGATTATGACGTATGTTGACGAACCATTCTCAACTGATTTACCCATATTCCCTCACAGATCTGATGTTTTAGAATATATGAAGCATTATGCTACAGAGTTAAATAATTTCATTCGATTCAATACGAAAGTCGTTCATATAGACCTTTTGAATGACAACAAGTGGAAAGTCATCTCGAGGCCTGTGGTAGAGGAGACAAATGGTGGTAAGATTTCATCCAGAATTCAAAAGTTTGAAGATAAGACTGAAATATTTGATGCTGTTGTAATTGCCACAGGTAACTATGATATACCATATATACCGAATAGGCAAGGTATGGAAGAATGGAATTCAAAACATCCAGGAACGATTTCCCATGTGAAATCATATCGAAATCCCAAAACCTTAGAACAAGAAAATGGTGAAATATTAGTAGTTGGAAATTCAGCATCAGCTGGTGACTTAGCATATCAGTTGGCAACTACTCTCAAGCGTAAAATTTACAAGTCTAAGAGATCAGAGAATCAGTTACCGACAGGAAAAAGTAATTTTGTCATGGAAGTTGCTGACATAAAAAGGTTTGATGCAGATTCAAGGTCCATCTATTTAGAAGATGGCTCAAAGTTGGAGAATGTCTCGAGGATAATATTTGCTACCGGTTACTTAAAATCTTTCCCTTTTATGGATCATTTTAATCGGACACAGTTTCCACTTTTGACGGATGGAAACAAAGTTCATGGTATATATGAACAAATCATATTATATAATTACCCCAACTTAGCCATAATTGGCCTACCAAGATTTGTATTACCTACAAGGAACGCAGAAACGCAGGCTTGTTGGTTATCCAAGGTTTGGTCTGGAAAAATCAAATTACCTTCTGTTGAATATATGAGAGATTTGGAACGCAAAAGAGTGGAAGACAAAGGCTCGGGTAAAAAATTTCATGACTTGATATTTCCGGAGGATGTTTTATATTCTAACCTGTTAAATTCTCAAATTTTTAATAGCGTAAAGACTCTTAAAAATTCTGAAAAGGGATTGTTACCTAAAGTTTGGGATAAGGAACAAATCAAAATAAGGGGCTCGATAAAAGCAATAAAAGAGTCTTACATTATCTATAAAGAAAGAACAGGAAAGCTTGCTAAGAGTGTTCAGGAATTGGAAGATGCTAAGATAACGGAGCCATTGTTTATATCCGATGAAGAGTTGCGTTCATTAGGTTTTGACTTTTAAATTATATTTAAAAAAAAGAGCATAGGAATCTTCACTTTAATTTGGAAAGATAATAAAATCGATCCCTTATTACATCTCTATAATAGAAAGTAATATATCATTGGTTTTCATGGTAGCAACAGATTAATTTGAATTAGATTAGTTCCTTAAAAAACTCAAATTGTGATTTGACATATGTTCAGGAGAGGAAGCGTTCTTTTGGTTATTTTTTAATTCTCAAGTTCGCCTTGTTTTTTCGAGTCCCTCCGTATTAGCTTGAAATGGGAAGAGTACTACTTGAAGGATCAACTTAAAATAATATATCGCTTGCTGGATAAACAAAATGCTAAAAATGATGTTCCTTGAATAATATTATAGGACCGTAGATTTATGGAATAGACAATCTGTGATTTTATAGAAAATGTATATCCAATGAGAAATATGAAGGAATGGATATATATTTATGTGACTAGATGGAAAAAAAAAATTTGTTGTCTATACAATGAACAATTATATTTCTTTAGCTTCTCTGCTAGATCTGCTACTCTTTGAAATATGAACTTAATTTTATGAGAAATTTGTACTTAGGGTTATATTCAATCTTTTAAGGACTTCTTCTTCCAGTAGAGGCTTATTTGCTCCATCAGGATAAGGATTTTTCTCTTTGAAGTCTTTTGCAACTTCGCCCATTGTCACCCATTCAACGCCATCATGTTTATTGATATATTCAATTAGCCTTTCATGCATAAGAAGAGCATGTGGCCTCCCGGAGGCATCAGGATGACATGTAATTGGAAAAACAAACTCATCATATTCGCGATAGAAATAGTCAAAATGATCTTTCCAAATATCCTCCATATCTCTAGCATTCGCCCATCCGTAGAAGTCAGGATTATTTTTTACGAACATCATTGCTTCAAGATCATCTAGATGCCAGCTTCCTGGTATTTCCACCATTCCCGTATCCTTTCCTTTAATTAGTGGCTTCATCCAGTCCTCCGCTTTCTTGGAGTAGTCTATCTTTGTCCAAGAATCTCCAGTCCGGAGCCAGTATAACTGGCAATCGTGATGACTCATTGAATGATCATATTCCACTCCATAGCTTAAAAGCAAATCTACACCTTCCTGAGAAGTTTCCCAATAGGGCGCAACGTAGCCTTTTGGCGGTTTGCCACAAAATTTTGTAAGGAGTCTGAAACTTCTATCTAAGACGTCTTTTTGCTGTTGATAACTCATTTTGGTCGGATCTTCGTGAGAATATCCATGTAAACCACTATTAATGTCAGTAGTGGATTCTTTAGTCTCTCGGAAAATACTTACAATTCATGACCATTATCTCTTATCTTTTCACATATATCAGGAAAAGTTTCTAAAGAGTGCCCCGGTACGAACCAAGTTGCCCTAAGATTGTATTTATTGAACAATTTGAGCATCCTTGGGACACCAACATTCCCAGCCAAAAGACCTTTGAACCTAGTTAGTAAGGTTAAAAAAAGATATGAAAAAAATCAAGACAAAAGATATCTTACCTCTTGAGATGTCACTCACAGAATCTTGACCGCCGTAGGACCCCAACCATCCTGAAACAGCATCGAAATCAACGCCATAGCAACACAATACTCCTATCATTGTTAGTTATTGAGTACCTTAAATTGAATAGAAACTACATACTCTTCCCCATGGTTTTTAAAAAAGTTAGCGAATAATATTTTGATAATGCAATCTCGAGGCATATATATATTATGCTTCTCATTATATGAAATTGAGTTCCGCTGAATTTCCTATCAAGGAAATCCCGCTATATTGCAGGAAAAGAAATTATTCCGAGATTCGGTATAGAAAGTAGCCCCTAGCTCTTTAAGCAAACTCATAGTGCAGATGATCTTCATTATATCTGGAACCTTTAACTTCATTGGTTTTGCAAATATCTTTGATCTTAGAAAGGTCGTCATCAGTCAACTCCAGTAATTCGGTAAAGTTCTTTTTTATCCTTTCCTTCGTAGAACCTGAAGGAATTGGAATGATTTTTGTTACACTGTTAATTCCTTCGTATTGCTTTCGCTCAGATATTGCAAGTATCCACGACAAGGCTAATGACTCTAAAGACGTTTTCTTTACATCGTGGGCAAACTCATATAGACGTTTAACTAATTTCATATTCTGAGATAGATTCTCCTCGCTGAATTTACCCAAGCGCCTTCTATAATCGTCTTTAGCCATTTCATTTAAGAAATTATCGCCCTTTTCGGCAGCTGAATCAGTCAAATATCCTCTACAAAGTGGGGAATAAGCAACAACTGGGATACCAAGCTCGGATGCAGCTTCCAAAACCCCGTTAAAAATCAAATCTTGACACATTAAGGACATCTCTAACTCTATAAAGGATATAGGGAAAACCCCAACGGCCTTTCTGATAGAATTAACACCAACTTCGGAAATAGAGATACCATCGATTTTGCCTGCTTTGACATATTCTGCAGCGCTCCCAATAGTCTCCTCATATGGAACTTTTGGATCGACCCTACAAGATTCAAAGATAATTTTGGGTCTTAAAGAAGGATCTTGAGGAAAGTAAGATATGATATTTTCAATTGAACGAGAGACTTCCTCCTTAGAGCTGCTTATATTGAAATTGGTAAGATCCAAACCTCCTTTGATACTAATAACTAGATTACGATTGAACTCTGGCTTATTATCATCAACAAATTTTTTTAAGAGCTTCAAGTTAGCATCCTCAGCCCCATAGAATTCACCTCCGTTTATAAACTTAACGTTAAACTCAGGACTCGTAGTCACATACTTGAGTGTTTCAAGCAACTGTTCAGTGGGTCGTGGATTTGTTGTCCAGGTCATACTCATAGTTCCGAAGCCCAAACGGCTCCCAACTTTAACAGTGGAAAAATTCAGACTCATATTAAATACCTTAGGAGATTTCCTCTATGAAAAGTAAAAAGAATTGCACGTATATTATCAAAGATTTTTATATTTGCCACAAGATAAGATATAGGTCCAGTATTTAAAAATTTTAAATCCTGAATATAAGAGAAAGGTGTCGGGTTAAATCCCTTTTTATTGATCCTGAATATAATGTAATCTTATCGGACTTATATAAGAATTCTGCGCTGTAAAATAAGAATCAAATTTTTGCAGCTTACCGGAAATAGATATTCATGCCCCTCCGTATCAAGGTTTTATTATTGCTTGGAGTCTTTTTTCCTCACTCATGAATTTTTCAACATTTGTTTCAAATCCCATTCTGATGGTATAGTTCGCATCAGTCTCTCGTTTTATTCCCAATGGTATTTGAAACCATTTGTGCTATAATTTTGAGTAGAAATAACTCACATCAGATTCTGTCTATTGAGCCATAAGAAGGCTTTTTGATGATCCTGTTAGAGAAAATTCTTTTAAAACCGCACCGCCTCATACTGAATCAAATGTGACCAAAAAATAAGAACTTTTCATAAAAAAAGATACTTTAATTTGTCTAAACAATATCTAATAAAGTAAAGTGGATTTTCACTAACGTAATCATGTAAATAGATACAATCACTGTTATTGTTTATGCATTCTTGAAAGAAAATCGTTTCTAGGCAATAAAAAGGTATACTGCTAATTGCCGTCTATACTTGAGTAGAATTTCGGTTTTTATGAATAGAAAGTTTCATAACGAACGCAAGTGCAAACCTGATCAAAATCTTCAACATGTAACATTCATGCTCTCAAACAAATCTTAAACACACAATGGCAAAATAAGACCATTTTCTTCTGCAACTTCTGGCCAAAATATGAAGGTGGAACCATCTTCATTCATCAGCCATATTTTTTCTACTAGCAATATGACAGTAAAAAATTTTTCTTTCTTCGTAACCTTGTAAACTTCCTTGAGATTTTCCATATACCAAGAACGAGTTTCTTGTCCGATAATATCACATCCCACAGCAAAAATGGGCAAAATCATATATATATTCATAGTTGTTTCACCTTTAGCTTGATAAAAGTCGAAAATTTCCTGCAAAATAGGTATCATTCTTTTCACTAGAAGCAATGTTAATGTTGACACGGAGGGAATGTTATAAACCAATTGATATAACAAAAGAGAAGTAGACTCTTTCAAAAATATCGCTATCTTACCCATTTCTTCACAACTTAGTAACATGTCTTTTATTTCATTTTTCGGTACTTCAGTCAGCAGCAATCTTGTTTCAGTATCTCGTGCTTCATCTAGAACCCTGGAAATGTTGCAGCTATTTAGTGAATCATAGCTGTGCAAAAAATCGTGCCCATTGGTATCTGAATTTTTGGCCATCTTTAATAAGCTGCACAAATGAAGTATCTCACCAACAACTGATGTAATTTTCTTCATAAAAAAGTAATATGAATTTGAGTTTAGGTTCAAAGGAATGTTGTAGACAGAATGAATGTTTTCAATGTTCAAATAATCAATATTATTCTTCGATAAGTTGTAGCCATATCCAGAGAAATAGTGAAAACTGAATATCTTCGCAAAGAATAAGCCGTTAGGCGTTTCACTTAATTTTTTAACGCCACCTCTTAAAGAAATAATCTTAAGCATCAATGTAGTTAGATTTAGCCAATATTCGGGATCAATTACGGCATTGAACTTTCCTATTTCAAGTAATAGTATTACAATTGCTATAGTATGATCGCAACAGGTGGCACAGAAATAGCTCAACCTTCTCTCTAAGTCACTTATAACGTCTTCGCGTAAAGAATTAAGCTGAAGAGGAAGAATTATGCCGGGTTTTGATATTGAGTCATCTGATTTTTGTTCCAATGAGACGTTCCACGCAGACCATAGTAAGATTGCCTTAAACACAGTTATATTACTGAATGCAAGTGATAAGTATATATTCAAAATCCGTCTTGTAAAGTTTTGCGAAGCTTCTCCATCCTTGGAGTTCGTGCAAAATAGATACTTATTAGTTTCTTGAGCATACTGATTACAAAAATTGTCGAAAAGGAGCTCAATAGTCTCAGTTGAGATATAAGACGGTAGATTGATAAAATTGGCTTGATATTTCAAGGATTTATGAGACTTATCAGCCATAATTCTGCCGGAAAGCGTTGGTGCCTCAATGAACATTTCATTTTTCAAGTTATTAGTATCGATAACTAAACCGTGTCCTATCGAGCTATGTTTGATTTCACACTTGTATGAACTGCTGTTCAATTTTCCGGATTTCGTGAACTGTAATTCCAAAGGTATGTCGAGGACCGCATTGTGCTCTTGGTTATACGTCGGTAGACTATTAGAGAAGTCGATTAATCCTACTTCATTTACTCCATAAGTATTCATCGTCTCTCGTTCAAGACGTGTCTTATCATTTTCCAAAAAAATTTCATGAGTTTTTTCGTTTAAGATTTGCTCCAGTGGAGAACCAGAAACTGAAAATTCTTTTTCATAGATGCACAGCAATCCCACACTTCGGATCGTTTGATGATGAGCACTTATATCATCTCCTTCCTTCACAGTACAATAAATATAATTTTTAATTATGTCAGTGGCGACCTTTCGATTGAAATTAACATCTTTCTGATTCTTGCTCTCAATAGATTCGTTGTTGGATACTGTCGATTTGACTCTCTTCAGAGTATACGTTGGCCTAGTAACCCTTTTCCTTTCATCTCTTTTCTTATTTGGACCGTTGTAGTGAATTACTCCGAATTCTGGGGTCATGCATTCTAACCCTTTCTTTAGACAAAACGAACACGTAGATTTGAAGGCGCCAATATCACATTTTTTACTACTCTCTGTTAGTCTTTGATTTGCCTTCAAAGTTCAACTAACTTACTTTCTAGATTTGCATGCAAAACATGCCCCTCTACTTATTGTCGCTGCTCTACTGCGTTTCATAAAGTTCCTTATTTAGGTATCCGTGAATCTTCGTTTACTTCTGTATTTTATTCTTATCTCGCGAAATATCAAATTCTATCTAGTAAAATGTTTCACAACGGACCAAGATATACAACACAAAAGAGTCTAAAAAGAGAAAGAGATTCAATTCAATATTTGTTTCTTATCTATATGTTTACAAGTTTCTTTCGTAAGCGGTCACTATCCTGTCAAATCAAAATATGGAAAAAAATTATCATATCTACTTTAAGACAAAACTGAAGAGTGTCAGAAATACTGAGTGACCTTTACTAGAGGCTCTATAATTTCAACATAATTTTTTATAAGTCAAAGACTTGAATGGATTTGGAAGCCTAAAAAATGTTAAAAGGACTATTATAAGAGATCCATCTTTTAATAGAAATAAGGGAAATAAAATAGTCGAATGAATTAAATTCAGGTGATGTTTAAATACTGAAAAAAACCCAAGATCAACATGCACTTCAGTAGCAGTATCTAAAGTCTATATTCTCAATGTCTGTTTGATCGGCAAATTCAGCATTTTCTATATGAACATGAGTGTCACCAAGTTCTACCAACTGGGTAAATTTTTTTCTGTTTCTATAATAGAATGCCACTAGCATGACTACCGGAGTAATCAAACTTAATGTTGCAGTTGCTGCCATGACTGTCTTAGCGGTCGGATAGTCAGAAGAAGCTTCAGAGTCGAGAAATGTCTGTGGTCCTATCATATTACCGGCACAAAAACCAACTAAAAATACGGCACTCACCGTAACTTTCTTAGTATGGCCCGCTATATTAGACGCTATTATTGAGGTCATCGTGGCATAACTTGCAGTTTGTAAATAGTTTAAGTAGTATCCAACAAGACGAGCGCTGCTATATTTGCAAAACGCTAGAAGACAAAGGCCAGTAAAGTTTAAAGCGTTGATAAAAAAGCAAACAAGCAATCTGCTAATAGAAAATTTACGTTGGATATAAGCAAAAAGTGCAGGAAAAATCACGTCTATACCACCCCCTATCATATTCATCAATAATGCTGGCCCTGTCCCGAAACCGAAATCATCCAGTAATACAATAGAACCAAAATTACCTAAACCTCCGTTTGAAATACCGTATCCTATCATGTAAAATAGTAAAGAGTAAGTGCATATATCAAGTAATGCCTCTTTAAATTGATACCATTTGAAGTGTTTGTTACCAAAACCTTGATTATTTTCTCTAATTCTGTTCACGACATCTAGTTTCTCTTTCTCATCCAAAAACCATGCCTTAGCTGGAATGTCAGGAATATGAAAAATAGAGATAAGTCCGAGTGCAATCGTAATAACTCCTGTAATAACATATAGGTCTTGCCATGCTGTAAGCAGTGACAGGCTCAGGTGTGTATAAAGTCCATATGCTATGCCTGAACCTAAGATAGTACCGAATCCCTGAAAGCCTTGCCAAATACTACATCTCATATATTGCTCGGACTTCCTATACCACTGCGTTGTTAAAATAATATAAGCAGGCGTCATGAAACATTCAAGAATACCTAAAAGCGTACGACAAAGTAAAAACGTTGAAGCCGTTCTGCACGCTGCGTGGCAACATAAAACTACTCCCCAACTTATTATAGCGACACTTAAAACTTTTGATAATGGAAATCTCTGCAAAATCAAATTCGCTGGCAATTCGAAAATTAAATACCCGAGATAGAAAGAGGTTCCTACCCATGAATACTCCAGCCCAGTCATATTCAAATCTTCTATCATTCCCATTATAGATGCATACGAGCTTGTGGATTTATCCATCAACTGAACAGACATTAAAGCACAAATAAGAGGCATGAGCCACCAATCTATTTTTCTTAAAAGTTTCTTGTTTTCTTCCTCAGTCAATTCATAAGATTTACTCTTTGTGGCATAGAAGAGTGCCTCATCTGCAACTTTATTGTCAACTTCGTTTGACACTATCACGCTGATGTCTGTGCTCTTTGAATCCTTTAAAACGCCCATCTTAATTGAGTAATGATCTTGAAGAGTAATCGAAATGTGGTTTTGTTTTATATGTGTTTCATCTTCCTATCTTTGATTCATGTTATCGGAAACTATTTGATGATCAAATTTCTTGAAGAAAACTTTTTCCCGAATCTATTTCCTTTCTGAATTATATCAATTTTACTCGAATCTACTGCCGTTCTCAAATCCAATTTCTTCATTTAAAATTTCTTATTAATTTCTTTTTCGCACGAAGTACATCACAATTTCGAATCAACTTCCTAATTTGGATATTTTTCGGAACGAATTCCTTATCGAGATGAGATCTTAAAGCTTGATCGATTTCTATATCGGAGTGTCGAAGATAAAAAAAATTCATCGAATCCATTTCCTGATTTAGAATTTGACGTGAAAATAAGACATACCAGTTACTTGTGATTAAAACCTATTCAGTGCTAGATAGTCTATATGAAGGAAACGGCAAAAGCGAAGCTTCCAAGTAGAGAAATAGATACGGTGTCGAAAGAATTAGAAATCGAAGTGTCTTAACTTCAATATATATATAAGATCTACCAATTCTCCATAATTGTTTCGGTTATTATATGTGCTGAACTCTCTTCAAAATGGAACAAAAAAATAAAAAGATCATCATCGTTGGTGCCGGTGTATTTGGAGTATCAACAGCTTACCATTTGGCAAAGTCGGGCTATAAAGATATCACGCTTATGGACAAGCAGCCATATGAAACTAATTTTTATGAATCTGCTGAAAATACTGCAGACGCTGCTTCAAGCGATTTATCGAAAATTATTAGATTTTCTCATTACAACAAAGACTACCAGGAATTGGCTATGGATGCTATTGTCGAATGGGACAAATGGAATGAAAGTATCAGTAAGTCAGATGATTTACCTCAGGGCCTCGATAATGATCCTATTTATGTCAAGTCAGGATATGCTCGTTACTATACTGAGGATTTTACACGTAATGCCGAAGAAGTCGAAAACTCGAAATCATTCAAAAGAGTTGGGCTCGAGGATACACAGTACGACCTGAACAATGAAAGAGATCGATATAGAGCTAAATTTTCGGGTCTTAGCCACAGACTTGATCCGTTGAAGCTATATAAGAAGAAGGACATCAAAGGAGATGAAATAAAAGCTCATCTCGATATTACTGCGGGATTCGCATATGCTTCTCGTGCCACGTACTATTGTTTGTACCTTGCAAAGAAGTTAGGTGTCAAAACTGTTTTTGGTCCTCAAACTGGCTCTTTTAAAGAGTTCATAAAAGTAGGTAAAAAGGTTAAGGGCTTAGTTACAATGGACGGTAAACTGCACCCTGCAGATCTCGTTATTGTGGCTTGCGGTGCTTGGTCTCCCAAGATTGTTCCAGAATTGCAAGGTATCAACCAAGCTACTTCTGGTAATATTCTTATCATTAAAATCCCAGAGGAACGCAAAGATCTTATTGAAAAATACAGTGTTAAAAACTTTCCTGTTGTGGCCTGGGAATCATATGAGAAGAAAGATGATGTTGGCGGTGTTTTCTTTTTTCCTCTTATACAGCCAGGCAATTATTTGAAGTTTGGTGCAAGACTCACAAGATATACGAATCCAAAGAAGGTCAATAATAAAGTAATATCTGTTCCCATTACCGAATCTGAGGATCCTGCTGGTGCCAAGATCCCTGCTGATGCCATTTCTACTGTCTCTATGTTTATCAAACGGTATATGCCCGACATAGCTCATTTACCTTTCCATAAGGTAAGAATGTGCTGGTACTCTGAGACCATTAATGATGACTTTTTGATAGATTGGGTGCCTGATAATGAAGGTCTTTTTGTCTGTGGTGGCTCTTCAGAACATGGCTTTAAGTTTTTACCAACAATTGGCCTATTCGCAGTAGAAAGACTCAACGGTGCAAATGGTAGATTTAATAAAAGGTTTGCATGGAAGAAAGCATCTACTAAGGATAGTAAGTTGTTCGAGTCTAATTTAAAAAGTTTGAATATTAGCGATATAGAACTCAAGAGTAAAATTTAAGCGGAGATCTGTCTTTTCATTTTTTATTAAAATATTTTTTATGGCTATATTGCTAAATATATTGCTAAATCATCTTCAATAACTTTTAAACTTGTAATATTTATTGCGTCTAAAATAGAATCTTTCCCACATAATTTTTGCAATGAGCTCCTCCGCTAACTTCATCCATAGATACTGATTGAAATTGCAAGAAAAGCTGACTTTCTCGAGTAACACAACAAGACAAATAAATAGATCTACAATTTAGACGATAAATCAAAGCAAATGCATTCTTCTATCTTCGTTAGTATTAATTTCAGTATCATATATAGACATCGAGTAAGAGATCTCGTGAGCATATTACTCTTTACTATTGTCGTGTCCATAATAATCGCGTTGGATGCTTACAACTTTCGGGATTCTGATTTTATATTACATACTACTCTTCACACTCTCTTCATCGAACATCCTAAAATTTCCTATCAATACTGTCTTCAGACTGATGAAAATGGGAAATGGACATTATGGCATAAAGTTATGGCGGGAATAAGAGCCAGTTTCGGAAATCGAATTCAACTGTCAGAATTCTTTGGTATTTGGAAGGGTGTCTAAGTAACACCGCAAAAGAACAGAACTTTAATAATTGGTCGCCATATCTTTACCTAGTGTATAATATGAAATGATTCCAGTCTATTGGGCCTTTGTTGGACGAACTCTGACTGAAATTTTTTTGTTATTGGAAGACTCTAAAGTAATGGATTTCCAATATCTCAGGGTGAAGATGTTGTATATGTTGACGAATTCAATAAATTGATTGAGTTGACCAAACACAATAGAATGATACCGTCTCATTTTATCCCCGTAAGATGTGATATGAATGTTTCTAATGTAATCATATATGGTAAATTCTAAAACCACCATAAATTAATATCAAAGCACAAGCAAATCCAATCCATAGTATTACTGACGAGATAGTACATGTCCATCCAATACCAACATTATCAATTTGAGTTAACACAGTTGCAGATGCTACAGCAGCAGCCACAAATCTTATCATGTAATTAGATGCAATAGCATCTCCCTTCAAATGAGGTAGACAATCTATACAGTATGCATTTAAGCTGGGGAAACAAATCGTTTGAGATATACCACAAAAGAGCATAACAATTATAGGTAGGGTCATCCCCCCTTTTTTTGAGTCTATGGACCAACCATATACAAGGATGGATCCTGGCAAGCCCAACCCATATGCTAGTATCAAAGACCGAAGTCTATCCTCTGCAACTCTCTTTCCCCTTTTCTTAATATATTTTTTGACAATATGGTCAGCCCATCGGCCACCAAAAAAAGACCCAATTAGATAACCAACTCCAGTGGGTAAATAGAACAAACCAGCATAAATGGGTTTTTCAAGGTTGAATCTCGGGTTGATTACATACCTGATAGGAGTTAGCAAGATATACATGTTGTAATGTATCGAACTACTCATTATACCAGCTAGAATGAGCTCTTTGTGTCGCATTGCTAATATAACTCTAAATGGATTGAAGGGAATCCAGATCAATTTCTTACCCGTTTCTCTTCTCAAAGATCTATAAGCTAGGTGTTTAGAAGTTTCAGGTAATATTGTGAATGCCAACAAAAAGTCAAAGGCACCAAGTCCCGCCAATGTCCAAAATATCACTCTCCATGAGGTATAAGTGACGATAACTCCGCCTATGAGGGGACCAAGAGCAGGACCTATTTGGGTACCAGATAAAACCCATCCCATTGCAGTACCCCTTTCTGTTGGCCTGTAAATGTCTCCAATTATAGATGCGCCCGTTGAGAAGAAGGCAGTGCCAAAAAGTGCTGTTGACATTCTGAATACAAAGAACATCGCTAAATTTTGCGAGACAGCTACTAGTATGGTTGAAACTGTGTACATCAAAAGACAGACGATAAATGCAATCCTCTTTCCATATAAATCTCCCACTGGACCTAATAAACATGGTGAAATGGCCATGACTATGCAGTACAAGGCATTGGAGATGTTTATAATGGTGCCTGTCGAGTGAAAATCACTAGCTATCTCAACGGTGGCTGGTAAAAGCGCAAGAGAGCTCATTGGAGACATAAGACATGATGTAGATACTATAAATACTAGTAAACGTTTTTTTGAAGGTGCATGGATATTGTAAAAAGCTTCGTCGTCCATCTCCTCAACCGGGACGTTATCACTGACTCCATCAGTAGATTGGAACGTTTGCACACCCATTGCTTTATTTTCGAGTATCTCTACCATTTTCTCATTAGTAATATTTCTATAATTCAGAAGTTAAATGCTGTCTTTGCCTTATACGTTAATTTATGATTTAATTAATATCAGAAGTTCAGCATCGGAAAACATGCTCCGGACTTTTGTTTTTTCGGCAATGCAATTTTTTACAACTGAGATAAGATGTGCCGAAGTAGGTGCAGAAGAAAACTCGAGAGAAAAATTAACAGGAAAGAGCGCCTATATAAAAAAGTTACGATTTAAAAATGTAAATGATCACCACTTCAAAAGGAATCATTCAAAAGCGAGAATTGGTTAATCTGGGTCTCAAGTCTTTTCTTTATTCGTCTAGCATCATATTAAAGCAACTACAAATTAAATAACCGAGTGTGAATATAAATAAACTGTCAAAAGACTAGAGATAATAGAATGAGACATTTTAGATGTGAAATTGAGAATTTGTGAGCCAGTATCTCATATTCAGCTTAAAATCTCTTTATTAACGGCATTTGGCTTTCCCGCACCATAAAAATACTCAATTAAATTATCGACGCACTTTTTTTCAAACTTTCTCCATGAGGCCCTGCTAACAGCACCTAAATGGGGCAATAAAGTAATCTTCCAATTATTAAGCAATCTTTCGTGTATTTTTGGTTCGAATTCATGAACATCAAAGCCAGCACCGACCAACTGTCCCCTTTCTAAAGCATCTATCACTGCAGCCTCGTGTACAATTGGACCTCTAGCTATATTTACTAACCTCACTTTGGGTTTCATCTTTTTAAAAGCCTCAAAACTAATTAAGTGTCTTGTCTCTTTCGTGTACGGGCATAGCACTAAGATGCAGTCAGATTGGGCCAAGAAATCATCAAAATCTTTGTAGTAAGTCAAAGAACCCTCCTGGAAATCGTTTTCAATTTCTGCCTTTCTTGAACGGTTATGATAAATTACTTTCATTCCAATCGCCTGACATGCTTGTGTAACTAGTTTACCTATATCACCTAGCCCAATAATTCCTAACGTGTTACCACTAGGATCGTCAGCGATTTGTGCTAATTCCTGCGAATCATAGTAATGGCCACTTCTCACACAATGCTCAGCGTAGGAAGTATACCGGAAAGAGGCTAATATTAAATAAGTTGCGATATCTGCTGTGGCCCTTGAGCACGAATCTGGCGAGTTGCAAAATATAATCCCCCTTGACGATAAATACTCAACGTCGACAATATCGTACCCATGACCTGATTGTACGACAATTTTTACAGATTGGGGCAATAGTCTGACGGCTTCATCTCTAAGTATATAGTGATGAACGTAAGGACTTGACTTTAGCCAAGTTGAGCGTAACACGGCTTCAATGTTACCGATCTTTCCGTGGTTAGGTTTTTTTAATTCTTCAATATATTCATGTACTGTGTCGAAATCATAAGTCACAATTTCAAATTTCTCATTGACAAGCTCCCATGATTCCTTATGATGAATGGGCTTATCCCAGGGGATGTAAAGGATCCTTGGCTTCTTTGATTGACCCTCTTGTACAGTCATACCTTCGTATTATATTTCATTGGGACTTCTTTGCAAGCTAGAAGTTTTTATTTGTATCATCGGTAAAATGGCTCCGATACGATACGTCCAGGGCTGATGGATTAATTTTATCATCCTGCATATTGTATATAGACTCGATTTGATAGCTTGGGTAAGGACTGCTGGCCGTGCTTCGGTATTTTGTCAATTCTAATACTCATTTCTGTCCTTTGGATCCGATAAAATTTCTCAAAAAGGGAGATTGAGTATTCATAAATGTATTCAAGAACTGAAAATAAATATTCAGTACCATCAAGGTTAGGAAAGCTTAACACGTTTGTGTTTCCTGCTGTAGTGCCATTTAAGCAGGCGTTTTCCAATTTCCAATTCACACCAGATTTATCAGGAACACTTTAAATTGCTCGCTCGGCATATTAGTATATTGTTATCATCTAAAATTTTGAGCCTTCGCTTGAGCCTGAACAACAACAGGGTACAAAAACAGTCCATGATAAGAGTCGCCAATTTTTTCCTGAAGTCAAGTGTGGGCTCCGAGTAGTAAATATCAAAAAATGAAGATCTCTTCTGATGTAAAGTTTGATCCAAATCTTATTACTAAGTTGGTTCGATTTTTGTGGATGGTTGCAACACGCAGTTAAATTTAGGTCCTGCAGTGTTATCTCAAATTTGCTTATCGGAAAAAACAAGCCGATCGTTCAAGTTTTATCTCATACCTTAAATTTTCAATTCTATATAATAGGTGACTTTGCATACCTATTTTCTTTTTTCCCGAAAACTTAAGATCATAGACTGAGATATGAATACCATAACACCATGTGAAGATCTGAAAAAGGTCAAAAACATCGAAGTATCGGTGTCAACAGTATCAGATTCTGGCCAGCATTTGTTCGATCACGAGATCATTGAAGATCCAGAACTAGAGAAGAGAGTCTTATTCAAAATGGATATATTTCTTGTGACATTATTTTCATTTGCTTATTTCCTTGCCAGTTTAGATAAGTCAAATATAGGCAATGCTAAATTAGCAGGATTAGTGGAAGACTTAAACTTGGTGGGGAACCAATATGGGAATGCCGTGTCTGTTATGTATGCGACATATGTTTCATTCGAACCAGTGTATGCAAACTTATTAGGGATCTTTGGTCCTAAGATCGTTTTATGCTTTTGTTTAATGGGTTGGAGTGTTGTGTCGATATGTACATCTCAGTGTCGTAATTACTATGACTTGATCGCATGCAGAGTTCTATTGGGTCTTTTTGAATCTGGCCTTTACCCTTCTGTTAATATGGCATTAACCATCATGTTTAGAAGGTCACAATTGGCGAAGAGATTTTCTTACGTTTTTGCCGCTTCAGCTATAGCCTCAGCTTTTGGAGGTTTGATTTCATATGGATGCACTACAATGTCAGGGAAAGGCGGTTTGAATGGTTGGAAGTGGATGTACATCATCGAAGGGTCGATATCTTTATTCTTCTTACCTTTTTACTTAATTTTAATACCTAACAAATTTGAGAATGCCCTCTGCTTCAACAAAGAGGAGAAGGAGTATATGATAAAACGGTTTAAAACAATGTCAACATATAAAGAAGGAGAGAAGATTAGCATGAAAGATGTAGGTTCTGCTTTGAAGGATTTTCGTACTTGGTTGACTGGCGCAATCCAATTTTGTCTTGATTTGACTTCTTATGGCTTGGGAACTTTCATGCCAATTATAGTGAATGGTCTAGGGTTCACTAGTATCGATGCTCAGTTACTCATGGTACCAATATATTTTGTTACTGCAGTATCTTATCTTATATGTGCTAGAATTAGCGATCGATTTTGTCTTCGTTGGCCCTTTGCGGTAGGTGGCTGTATTGTTACCGCAATTGGCTTAGCAATTGTCGTTGGCGCCACGAAGATGGGAGTAAGGTTCTTTGGATTGTTCATTGTTGCTGTCCCACTCTATGTTTGTCCCTCGATGAACGTCGTTTGGATAAGTGGAAATACTGCAAATTTTTATAAAAGAGCTACTGTGGTCGGAGTCAATCAACTTATTGGAAATGCCTCTGGCGTTGTGTATGGGCAAATGTTTTCTACAGCTGATCTGCCAAGGTATATTAAAGGACTTTGTGTCTGCTTAGGCACTCAAATCATTGCCTGTGGTGCATTCGTCTTCTTGTTATTTTACTATAGAAGACAAAATAGAATTAGATTAGAAACGATTACAACTGCAGAAGAAAACGGAAAAGATATTCCCCGTGAAAAAGAGAAAGGTGACAAAAGTATATATTTCTTTTATAGTTACTAGTTCTAGTCAGTCTCTTTTATAGTCAATTATAATGTATATGAAAAACGATGACATACTTCGTTAGAAGAAATGGAGTAACATCAATTATAAAATAAACAATCCTAAAGATTCATCAATGTTCTTGATTAACTCCTTCATTTATTTCAAGATGGGATTTCTTGTTCTCATACATTTCGTTAGTATTTCGGTAGATTGTTAAACAGTCATGAAATTTGAAGAATATATTTATAAACTTTGTAAAAATCATCTAACTATTAGAGGTTTAAAAGAGCCTAAATCTTAGTTAGTTGCCTGGGTAATTTCTCTGATGGCAACACTACCTGTCAAAATTTTTGGTGGCATACTTTTAGAATTGATTGAAGGGAAGTTGGCCTCGCATATTTTTAAAACTTCCAGCCCAGATTCTTGATCAGCAGGCTTACCCCAACCACCTCCAGATGGCGTTTCGATTCTAATCCTATCACCTGGCTTCGTCCAGACGCTATTCTTTCCACCTAAAGCAACTTTTCTGAAGGAGTTATCGGGTTGCTTTCTTAACCAATAATTGTATCCTCTTCTTCCTGGATATCCTCCATCCATTCCATAAGGAGCAAATACACGCCTTTCCATAAGACAAGTGGCTTGTAGCGGAATTGTAAATTCAATTTCTCTAATGACACCATCGCCTCCTTTGTTCAAACCTTCACCTCCAGATCCTCTATTTATTTCATACTTTCTAATAATGCATGGATACTTCTTTTCGAAAGATTCAGAATCTGTCATTCTGGTATTTGTTGTATGCACTTGGACACCTGACTGACCATTGAAGTTTTCTCCTGCGCCACCACCACCAGCAATAGTCTCATAATATCCAAAAACACCATATTTACTATCAGATGAGCCAAACGTGAAGTTATTACAAGTCCCTTGGGATGCAGCAACAGCACGGAAAGCTTTGAAAATCACATCGGTGATTCTTTGGGCAGTTTCAACATTTGATCCAACAGTGGCTGCTTCAAAAGAAGCTTGAAACAAGGAGCCCTCTCTAACCCTGATATCGAGAGGTGCCATGCATCCACTATTAAGGGGAATATCGACATTGATAAGACATCTTAAAACATATAGAATTGCACCATATAGTACTGCAATAGGACAGTTCAAGTTTCCATAATATTGCTCTCCAGATTCTGAAAAATCTAAGACAGCAGTTCCCTCCTCTCTATTAACGGTTATAGTCACGGCAATAGCAGTCCCATCATCTAAGTAATCAACCGCTTTCATCGGTTGTCCACCAAATCTATCATATGCAATTCTCAAAAGATCTCTAACAGCCATCTCCGCAGATTTCTGAATTGCGTTCATATATAATTTGATAACATCAATGCCGAATTCTTCGATAAGGGAAGTTAACAATTTTATTCCTCTATAGTTCGCAGATGCATGAGCTTGAAGATCGCTTATGTTGTCATCTAGAGCTCTTGAGCCACTACATCCCTCGAACTGGCTTGGCTTGTTATATAAGTAGTCAACAACAGTTTCTTCTTGAAATACACCCTCAGAATAAAGTTTTGCGGACTCAATTGCTGCACCTTCTTGCCAAATTTCTTTCGAATCCGAAGGCATTGATCCAGCTGTCATTCCACCAATATCAGCATGATGACCCCTAGAAGCCGTCCAAAAGAGTACATTGTTTGACTCGTCCAACACAGGAGTTAAAACAGTAATATCAGGTAAATGAGTTCCACCTGTAGAAGGATGATTGGCAAATAATACATCGCCTTTTTTCAACTTACCTTTCCAGAGTTTATTCTGTGCTTCCACAGCTTTAAACATACTTCCTAAGTGCCCAGGAATGTGAGGAGCGTTTGCTAGAAGTTTTCCATCTGAATCGAATAATGCACATGAATAATCTAATCTCTCCTTGATGTTAGTTGAAATAGCAGTCATTTGAAGTGTTGTCCCCATTTGCTCAGCGATTGACATGAATCTATGTCCAAATACTGAAAGTTGAATGGGGTCAACAACATCGCTTGAAATATCTACTTTCTTGGACTGAGAAACAGTAACTAACACATGTTGACTCAAAACCCTTGCAAAGCACCGAGGCTCAATTACGATGGTTTGAGTGTTATCAATTATGGTAGCAGGCCCTTCTACTTTCGAGCCCTTAGGCAAAGAGTGTAAAAAGTATATTTTAGAAGTAACCCAGCCATCTGCTTCAAAGTAGACTTTATGCTCCTTAAATGGGGCAGATACTTTAACTTCTGATATAACATTCGCCTCTTTGAATGGGTTGATTTGATCGTCATTGTCGCTGTGTATAACTAATCTAACTCTAGCGTCTTCAACTATGATTCCTCTATTTAATGAGAATCCAAAATCCTGCTGATGCTTTTTTATAAAGAGAGATTCAAAATCCCAGCTATCTGTTGGTTTCAAAATCATTAAACAGGTATCAGTACCCACATACTTGATATTGAGATACGATTCAATTGTAGTAGGATTATCTCCTGTCTTTTCTTTTTCATACTCCGATTGCACCTCTTGTTGCAACTGTTTAACTTTTAACTTTATCTTTTCCAAATTATTTTCATTCCAGATCAATGAAACCGGTTGCTGTTTTTCTACCACAACATCTGCTAAAGATATTCCATATGCAGACAATAATGAAGAATACTTGTGAACGACAACATTTTCAATATTTAAAGTTCTAGCGATAGAACAGCAATGTTGACCTCCAGCCCCACCAAAAACAGCGAGGTTATGATCGCAAGTATTATATCCCTTTCCTTCTGTCAAAGTTCTAATGGGCCTGCTCATTGCTTCATTAGCTACCTTCAAGAACCCACATGCTACTTCCTCTGGAGTGATTTTAAACTCACTGCTTTCCGTATTGATTCGATTAGCCAATTTTTCGAAAAGTAATTTTGATCTTCCGACATCCAATGGTTCATCCTCATTAGGTCCGAAGATTTTAGGGAAGAATTCTGGCAATAGCCTACCTGTAAAAACATTGGCATCTGTAATGGTCAACGGCCCTCCTTTACGATAGCATGCAGGCCCCGGATCAGCGCCAGCTGATTGAGGTCCCACAACGAACATACCATTTTTCCAAAACAACATCGAGCCTCCTCCCGCCGCTACCGTTGAAATATCTAGTTGGGGAGTATTTAAGTGTGTTTCACTTACAACGTTTTGAAAAATATGCTCAAATCTTCCTGAATACCTAGACACATCTGTCGATGTACCGCCCATATCAAAGCCCAAGGTTGCCTTTTTGATTCCTTCTCTTTTATCGTGGCAAGATTTTGCATATCCTACAACCCCACCAGCGGGTCCCGACAAAACTGCCCTTAGTCCAGTAAATTTATACCACGGACAGAGAGCGCCATTACTCTGCATGAACAAAAGCTTGTGACCCATAGCCTCTAGGCCGCCCTTGAATCCGGATCCAAAGCCTTTAAGGTATTCTTGAATTTTGGGTGAAAGATATGCGTCGGCTACTGTTGAGCTACACCTATTGATAACTCCAATCTGAGGTTGCAATTCAGTAGAAACTGAAACCTGAAACCCCATTTCTCTAGCGAGCTGTGCTACTTGGATTTCATGTTCCGGGTAAAGATATGAATGTAAGAAGCAAATCGCTATGTTATAGTAACCATTTTCTTTTAATTCTTCCAATTGAGTCCGGACTTTATTTAAATCTGGCCTCTCAAGGATTCTAATGATGTCTCCTGTTGAAGCTGCAACTAAGTTAGGGTCCTTGTTGTTTTCGAGGGTGATGGGCTCTTGGGGGCCTCCTCCTTCAGTATAATTTTCTAACGTAATACGCTCATTAATTTCAATCACAGTTGAATATAATTGCTCTAATTTCTTTGCACTGATATTAAAAATATCTGGCCTTGTCTGATTACCTATAGCTAAAACGTCTCTGAAATCTTTCGAAGTTAGCAATGCAACTCTTGCACCTTCCCTTTCCAAAAGTGCATTTGTTGCAACTGTAGTACCCATTTTTATGGACTCAATCGATGTGAGTTCCAATTTTTCTCCTTTAGGAATTTCGCAGCCATTCGCAACTTCTAAAACCCTTCTAATACCTTCAGTTGGCGCGTCTGGATAATTAGCTGGGTTCACAGACAATAATTTAAAAACCATCTCATCTTTTCCTGGAAGAGAAGCGTATACATCAGTGAATGTTCCTCCCCTGTCTATGAAATGTTAGTCTTTACATGCAGATTCAAACTGAGTCTTATTATCCCCTACTTACCAATGGCTATTTTGATTCCTTTGTCCATATTTGATACTCCTAGATAATTTTAATGATATTATGATTATTAATTTATAAAATTTGGCATATATATTGAATGAATTGAAGCTTATTTATACTCTCTTTCGGATTGCACCTTACCTCACGATCGGAATATTGGTCCCGAAAGACCTCAAAATGTGAAGTGGTGCATATAGTGGTGCATACACCGATAAGGAAACATTTTTGAGTTGAGCTTCAAGTTGCGTCCCAATGATCAATGTTACCGGCCCAAATATGAATGTTAGAATATGCGTTTTCCCAAAATTCGACATCGGTCTCATCAAAGAATTTGGACTTCCTATTGAGTACCGAATCATTTAAAGATGGTACGAAGGAAGTGTCTAATATCTGAGATGGGAATAATAATCGTTCGTCCTCGTCCTTTCTTTGAGGGAACGAATCTAAAGAGAAAATCGACTCGTTTGCATCGGAGGCATGTTTTTGTTTTGATCCTTCTGATAGATCAAATAAGTTGTTCTCCGAATGATTTGAATTGAAATGAAATTCGAACGTTTCGTTAGACCTCTCTGTTAGTCCCTGGATGAAAAGTCTGATTTTCGAAAACTTCGCCGTAGCATTAGAGTTACCTTTCCGGGATAATTCCTGTAAAATATCCAAGCAAGAATTGAGTGAGTTTTGTATATTGCCTTCATCAGACATACCCAAGAATTTTGACAAAGAAAATGTCAAGGATGCACTGAAAACGTAATCTACATCGACCACCCCGAACACTGCAATAGTCGTCTCTTTGAAGCACGTTATCATAATATTTGTTGTAAGCTGTGCAGCATTGATGCAAATAGTCAACATTGTCAAGATATTCAGGGAGATATTAGCTAAGCTGAATGAGCTATCCTCTGCGTGCGCTTTTTCATGTACAAGCTGATAAAGAACGGCTACTGTAGCAAGGTGAATCTGATAGCAGTAGTTGAGATGGAGTGAGCATTTAAGTCTTTTCATCCTCCCATCACCATGTTTTCTTTCGTCTAATTTTAACCTAAAGTTGGATGGTAGATTTTCGTTCCAGTCAATTAGTCTTCGAATTATTATATCAACTGATGCCAATAGTCCACCATCATCACCAGCAAGTTTTCCACTTAGCGATCTCTTTTTATATACCACGTTCACAATATCTTCAGCTATTTTAGCTAATTCAAGAAAAGATTTCATGTCTTCTGCATCAGGAAAAGTAATCTTTTTACAGATACCATCGTCAAAAGAAACCATCTTCGGATATGAAACAGTTATATCAGATGCATCAAGTAGGGTGGGATGTCCTAATTTGGCACATAAAAACCTATTGGTAGTAAAAGCAGACCAGAATATTCTCTTTCTAATCTCGACGTCTTCTTCAGAATAAGCATTATCTTCTGGCTGAAGATGTAGATTCAATTGTATTGAAACTTGCATAGCCAATGTAGAATACATTACTGCATTTTGATCTTCATTGATGGATCTAAAGTAATACGCTGCTAAAATTAAAATTATGACGATTTTGTCATTATATACATTTCTCAAAGGGAAGATTTCAGACAACCCGGCCCAAAATAACGGATATGTTTCAGGAACTAGTTTATCTTCTTTACACAACTCTCCTTCAGCTAAATCTGAGCGAATACCAATGTAATGTTGACCTAGCGCGAGTAACACATAAATAAGTGGTTTCCAATACTCATCTGACAGAAATTCCCAATGTCCATTACTATAGAACTGGCGAAGTTTGGCTCTTATATATCCTTCCTCAAATGGTAAGTTGACTGATGCTAGGTAAAAATGAGCGTAACTAACCATTTCTTCTGCGTAAGAAAGAGACATGCTTTTAATTCCTTCCTTGTTCGAAATATGTTTCTGAGGTAGCTTATTGTTGTATAGATTCGAAAAGTTATCATTTGCTGATACGTTGATATGTTGCATTTCCGCTAATTTCGATATTACGATGTCCGACGAACCAGCTTCTAAATGTCTGTCTTTGACCTTGGTAAAGTTGGTTGAATCATTAGTCGATGGAGGTAACTTGGAACTCCTCAGATCTTTGACGTACCATGATTTGTCTTCGACTACAATAGGATTTGGATCATTCTTTTGTCCATCGAATTCAGCGAGACGGGCTTCTAAATGCTTTATTTTGTCTTTCATGCCTTGTAGTTTAGAATTCAATAATGACACCCTCTTTTCTTTCTCTACATAAATACACTCAGCTTTCACTAGAGCGCAGCTTCGGCATACCTGATCTCCAGAACACTTTGACTTTCGTTTTTTACATCTCAAGCATCTAAATAAATTTGTCAGTTTTAATGTTGATCATCATAGTTGTACATATGATACGTACGCTTTGCTAGATTTCTTATTAAATGCAACTTCCAGCTCTCTCACATGCATTCTTAGCTTGGGCTTTGTACTTCCAAAGATCGCCCTTAATTTCTGTTAAAAAACTTCTATCTCGAATTTAAATTCAGATCGGCCCTCTTTTTCCGATCATGATACAAGCCGCACGCTATAAATCACTTAGTATAAGACTTGAATGTAACCCAGGTAATACATACCCACATTGTACTTAGTAGAAATTACAAATTTGCACAACTATTAAGAATGTCACTTTTCGGAAATCTTGAATATCTGGCTCCAGATGAGTTTAATGACATCAGATTAAAGCTTGCAAATGATGACAGTGATTGCAAAATCGACATAAGCGCCGGGGTATATAGAGACGAAAAAGGCAAACCATATGTATTGCCTTCAATAAGAAAAGCGAAGGATCTTTTGCATTTGAGCAAGGAGGGCCATGACTACAATCTCTGCTTAGGAATACCTGATTTTGTACAATGTGCAGCTCGTATTGCTGTGGGCGAAAGTGCAATGAAAGAAGGTAAAGTTGCATCATGTCAGACTATTGGAGGAACAGGAGCTTGTCATTTAGGTTCTGCTTTCTTAGCTCAGTATTGTGGTTTCAAAAATTTTTATCTTGGGATTCCAGCATGGCCCAACTATATACCTTTGATCGAACAAGCTGGAGGGAAGATAATCACTTACAACTACTACGATCCTGAAAAAAAAACAGTCGATTTTAGCTCATTGGTAGACGCTATGAATTGTGCACCAAAAAATTCGGTTTTCATTTTACAGCTATGCTGTCATAATCCCACTGGTACTGACTTAACTAGAGAGCAATGGGCTACACTTGCTTCAATAATGAAAATAAGAGGGCTCATTCCTTTTATTGATGGTGCCTATCAGGGACTTGCTTCTGGCTCGTTAGAAGAAGATGCTTGGCCTGTGCGAATGCTTATTAATACTGGATTAGACATCTTATTTTGTCAGTCATTTTCGAAGAGTTTGGGGCTTTATGGAGAAAGAGTTGGTTGCCTTCACATTGTCTCACAAAATCCAACATTTACAGACGTGGTGAGAGATACGATTCGATATATTTTCAGAGCTGAGTGCTCTAGCTCTCCAGCTTTTGGCGCTAGATTGGTTTCACAAGTATCAAACAGTCCAGAATTGATGAGTCAATGGAATGATGATCTAGAAAAAATCTTCTGCAGATTAAATACGATTCGCCAGATGGTTTATGACACCTTGACTACGAAGTACGAAACCCCAGGAAACTGGGAGTTCATAAAGACTCAAAAGGGCCTTTTCTGGTTTTCCGGATTGGGCCCGGAACAAGTAAAGAAAATGATTGAAGAATTTCATATTTATCTTCCCAGAAATGGAAGAATTAATATTGCTGGTCTAAATGATAATAATGTGCAATTGTTTTGTTCCATTTTTGACAGAATAATTAAAAATTAGCCTTTCCATACTTAAAAATATATAAATAATTAATTTTCAACCAAAAGCTATACTTCTTTGCTCAGGTATTCTGTTTAAAACATTTCCAGTTGTCAATCCAGAGCGGATGTTTTCAACTACTAATTCTTCCATTTCCAATATTGTTTGCATGGCATGCGTACCCATGTGCGGAAGTGCAACAACATTTGGAAGAGAAAGTAGTTCTTCGGATACATGAGGTTCATTCTCGAATACATCCAATCCAACTGCTCCAATTTTTCCATTTTTCAAACTATTGATCATACTTTTTTCATCTATTATCTCTCCTCTTGCTGTATTGATAATGATAACACCATCTTTCATGAGTCTGATCATGCTATCGTCTATTAGGTGATGTGTTGACTGATTTAAAGGGCAATTTATCGATATAACATCAGAAATAGTAATGAGTTTTTCTATACTTGACACGTATTCAGATGTTCCTTCCTCTTTAGCCGGTAATTTTTTCCTATTATAATAGATGATTTTTTTAAATCCTAGTGATTCACATCTGTCTCTAAAAGCACGGCCTATTGAGCCCATACCGACTATCCCAAGGATTTTGCTTTTCGGATTCAACCCTACTTTTGCGCCTGCCCCAAACCCTCCTTTTGGCCATTCCCCATTGAGAAGCCTTCTTCGACCTTCGTCGAAGTTTCTCATTGCACCTAGAAGAAGAAATAAATTGGTATCTGCCGTTGATTTGCTTATTACATTAGGACAATTTGAAACCTGAATCCCCTTGTCGGTGATAGGTTTAATATGACACTGGTCATAGCCAGCACCCTGATGAGAAATATATTTTAATGTTTTAGGAAAGTGAGAAACTAGTTCTTCATCAAACAATCCCACTTTATGCCCTGTTAAATAACCTCTTCCTATAGCGACGACATTGGAATACTTTCCATGAAGGTCAGTGATAAATTCTTCTCTCGAATAATTATCGATAAGAATAACTTCAGCTATGTTTTTTAATTCCTCCCATGAATTATGGGCAAATCTTACTGGATTTAAGTGAATCACTAATGGCTTTTCAAGAGTCATTTTGTAAAAGAAACTCCACTCCTTCAGGCGATCTCTTTCAAATTAACATAAATAGTGTATCTACATGAAATATTTATCATATATACATATATGTTTTTCGGACACATTTTCCGATCAGATGCATGCGCTCTTTTAGGAAAAGCATTTATCAACCAGAATCACATACAGTTTCACCTATTTTACCAAGCCCGATACAATATTGGTTCTGATAGACCAAGCTATTTTAATTAATAAATAAAGGAATAAGTAGTATTCATTAATTGTGAACGCTTTAGCCTTAACCTGACCACAAAAGACTATATTTTATTTAGTTTCACTCTGAGTTCGTACTATCTACTAGAACTGCATAACAACAACATTATGACGTCCCTCAGCTGATATTTGAGTAAATCATGATAACATATCTGAGCTCAAATTAACGAGTTCCTTGAGCGAAATAACTTTTTTAAGCAATATGCTCAAATTACAACTGCTTTCATATCTTTACACACTTCGACATTTTGCGTATCTCTAGAAAGCTCCAATATAATTGGAATTGTTGCGAAACACAATTTACCGCGAAAACTATCTTTGTATCTAGCTTCCAAGTAGCATACCTTTTCCAATACCTTTTTGTCGTATTTGGGATCAAAAAAAAAAGCTACAAAGCTATTTAAAATTGAAGGTTTTAGAGACACGAAACAGAAAAGACTCCTACAAGGTACATAGAAAAGACCCAAGTACTTGACCAAAACTGCCACGCAATAAACCCAGTGCTATTAGACTCCCAAGGGCCTTCTCCGTACACTTTAATGAACAGGTCGAAGAGTTTACCTAGATTTATCGAAAATACAAAAGACTTCTAACTCTCCCCTGTATACTGTATATGAGACCATTTTTCACCCACCAAACGTAATGTAATGGTGGGCATTAGACGGAAAAATGATGACAATCTGTTTGTCAGATATTTCAATTTGTTTTTGCAGAAGATATTTCAAGCCTCTATACGAATATTCCAACGGAAGAAGATTGTGATACAATTGGTAACCAATTCAGAGACATCGTTCGAAGAACTAAAGCAGAAACCAAAAAACTTTTTTCCACCTAACCAAGTTTATAATGGAACTAATTTAGTGTTTGTAATGATAGAATCTATCGACATATAAAAGGTACCACATTGAATACTAGCATGGCACTGGATACGCAATAATATATCCTGCATCTACTAATAGCATTTAGTGCAGGTACTCAGAAAAAAGTGACACACACGCACCTTCCACTTCAGATAGTTAGTCGATATACTACGCCTGAGAAGTTCTGTCATTATCTTCATTGAAGAACAACTCAGTCGTCTTCTCGAATCAGTTGGTCAGAGGCTCAAACGATCGGATCTCTAAATTGGGAACACGGCTCAACAAGTATTTAATTTGAACTATATATAGGATTTTCAATCCAATAATTATTCGAATTACGATCAAGGTGAAATGGTCATCCCACAATGCCGTGTATGTACTTTTCAGGTAAAGAAAGTGAAGACATAACACTTGATGATCCTGAGAACGATTACATTAGGATAAATCCTGAGCTATATGCCAAAGTTCAGCTAGACAATGAACAGAATGCCAGAGTCTTTTTAGACACTTATTTATTAAGGATACGCGATTATATGCCAGAGGATATGTATGCAGTGGAGCAAGAGGACCGAATAGTATCGAGGAGTGATGCATCTGTTTCCCTTGAGACTAGGGTATTCATACCAGCTCTTGTCTATGTCACCAACTTAATGATCGTAGCCGACTTCAGGGAGATGACCAGTAATGAATTCAAAACTACTTACCTTGCTCCACTTAATGACGCTCTTAGGGAATCTATTATCGGTGATGGCTACTTGCTGAAGCGATATGCTTATCCATTTGGAGACGCTACTCATGTGGAAGGTGATATCCAGCGATACTTCGATGAAGGAATAGGGGGTTCGATTAACACACTTTACCGTGAGATTTGTGGGAAGTATCATAAGTTTGGCAAGCCAACTATCATAAGACCGCCTTTAGATAGAAGACGGATAATAAAACCAGATATCGCTCACATTTCCGTAGATAAATCAGCGCCTAATCTACAAAATCCAGAAATCTGCTTCGCGATAGGTGACTACGAAAAGAAAAATTATTATTTAAACCAGGGTTTTGAAGAATTGAAAATGGCCATTGCAAACTATGAGACAGATTTGTCGGGTCAGAGAACATTAAGACTGCAGTTAACACATACGCATACTATATTTCAAGACCGAGAATGGACACCCAGAGTGGTATGTGCGTTAGTTCTAAGGAAATATATTTATCAAGCTTTACTCTGTGGTACGGATAGAGTATTCATTTCAGATCATCAATCATTTTCTGGGTTTTTCAAGTATAAATTTGTTGACGACGAAAAAATGACGATAGACTACTTCGTTATCAACGATCCAGAGACTGTCGAGCATGGCATTACTTTAAGATCAGCAATTGCAGGATTTTTCTACGAAGAGAGAAAAGGCGCACTCGATACGAAACAAAGGTTGGCAACAACACTTCAGGTGGTGGGCAAAACAAAAGGATCAGACCCATTTGAGAATGTAGTTCCTAGACCTGTGGAAGAACCATCTCATGACCGTAAACGGAGCAAATTATCTGGAAGTGCTCTCAGGAGTCAGTTGATTTCAATCGAGGAAAATATCGAGGATGTTGACTTTGATGTAATTCATGGTAATACATATTGTCGTATAATCTACGATGCCCCCAAATGTTATCCTGGACTCAGATACGTACTTCCTATTAGCGTTTTTGTTAAATTGTATAATTATCCAGACCTGGCTTTTGAAAATTTTCCAGAGAAAGAAGACTATTACGATATGTTTGTGAATGAACTTGAAATTAACAAAATTATCGCAAATTCTCAATTTGCTTCAAACTTTCCAAAACTCATCGTATCTGGATACCTAAATGGAATTCCAAGTAAGCCAATGCATATATTTGAAGATCTAGGAGAAGAGTTACCCATATCTGAGTGGAACTATGACAAAGTATATGACGTTATCAAATTAAGACTTGAGGAAATTCATGTTTTGGGGATAAGCCACAATGATGTCAGACTTTCCAATATTCATGTTTCAGTTGCAGGTAAAATTTCGTTGATAGATTTTGGATTATCAGCCTGTCCAAGCAGTAAAGAACGTAAAAAGGGTGATTTTACAGATCTAGATCGGATTTTTAGAAGACCGTCTTACAGCAACCAAAATGAAGACCAAGGTGGTCAACGAGAAATGAATTGTGACGCATCACGTAAAGAGTCTAATATTAATAGAAATTATGGGTATAATGAGATTAAGTCATCGGAGGACGAAGGAGTTTTTGAGAGTATAAGCAAAGAGTCCCAAGGTACAGAGCAAACAGAGAGGTCTTTCTTCCAAAGGACAGGTGAAAAATAATAATAGGCTTCGTGCCACTTGATACACAAGCTCCATAGAATATTGGCTGGATGAGAATTTGAGCTGCCTAGAGGACAAGAGAAAAAGATAGATTCACGTCAAATCTGAGCATTCATATGAAATTTGCTAACAATAGCAAGATATGTGTTCAAATTCGCCCCGCAAAGCTATTCTGAAGGTCTCACAAGAAAGCATTTATAGATAGTTCTCAAAGCGTGTTACTTGTATAATGAACGACACTAATAATAATAATAATAAAATAAAGACAAAAATTATAATAATGGTAATAGTAATAATAAGAGAACAGTCATATATGTCAACCAGTTGTCTGTTTACAATTAAACTTTGATCAGCTCAAGAGCACTCCATAATATTTCTTCTCTTTTCTCATTATATGAATCTTCAGAAGATCTTATGATGTCTCCTTTATCACAATAAGCAACATTGTTAACTTTATCAAACACCTCATCGCTAAATATAGTATCGAAAAAAACCTTACCTGCCGTTGAAGGAATAGATACTGAGGGTAGTAACAAGAGTAATGGTCCCATGATAGTAGCCATTACTTTTACAAAGGGTTTTGCATGTCTAGTTAATCCAGTTGCAATGACAATTCTTGGATTGTAAACTAAAAAGTCAACCTCTGGGTACAACTTTGCCAACTTATGAACATAATATATGAGGGCCAATTTACTTGAGGAGTAAGCACGAGCTCCCGCACTCATAGATTCGGGGTCATTGTCAGCTCCATTTCCCACTGGAAATAGTAATTCATCCACATTGTCACTCCAATATGGAGGTGGAACAAGGCCCAAGGTGTGCTTTAAATCACCAAAATGGACATCACTGCCTGTCAATATAACTCTGCTACCTGAATGCTGCTGATACAAAGGTAATAAAGCCTTCATCATGAAGTAGTATGAGACCACATTGGTTTGGAAAGTAGATTCAAATCCATCAACTGTTTTAACCGTACGTGTCGGATATTGAATAGCTGCATTTCCTACAAAGTACTTAAGGGGTGGAACTTTCCCTAGATTTACCAACTTTATGATTTCCTGTGAAGCCTTCTGTACGCTCTTGATTGAACTAAGGTCACAAGTGATTACTGTGACCTGTTTTCTTTTAATAATGGCCTTAGGGTTGCGACAAAGTAGTATGTGATGCAAATCTGGTCTCTCATTTTCAATTTTATCTGCTGTGATTACACCAAATCCATTTGATAACCCGGTACTAACTATTGTAAATTCTGCCATTGCGTTCTTTGAATTCAAGTTTGTAGTTGATATTACCTTGATAAATTTGGGGCACTATTTATACATATATCTGGAGCCGGACTTTATGTTAAGTCCACGGATTTGATTAATTCCTGCCGGCCCACCTTAAGACTCTATTTCGGATTTATCTCTAGAGGAACAGATCCGAAATTTTGTATCCTTACTCCACAGGGCTTCCCTATCAGATGAGCTGCTTATTAATATTTGCATTCCTTTTACATAGTCATTACTATTCTCTCGAGGCCATGGCATGAGGTGCAAAAATGTAATCTTCTCGCTGTGTCACACCATTTCAAAAGCAGAAACAATTTCGCACTCCACGGTATATCATTAAATTTTAGCTTTAAATCATTTTTCTACATTTTCTATACGGGGAACTTGCAAGGAGTATAATCTTGCAAGACGGGACGTGTCTACTAGACCCGGAATAGTCAATCCTAATTCCTTATTTGCAAATAAAAAGATAGTAATAACAATGGCCCCGGTCAATGGTAGCTCAAGAAAGAGGAGGCGAATTCCTCCTTCATGTTTGAGTTGTAGAAAAAGAAAGACAAAATGCGACAGACAGAGGCCTTTCTGTGGTCGATGCGCTACAGATGGGATTAAAAGTGACTGCGTTTATGAAGCGACCTCTGAAGTTCTTAAAAAAAGCGAAGGACAAAGATTGAAAATTGATTCGTTGAAATCGAAAATCAAGTTATTGGAGGAAACTATTGAACTTAAAAATTCAATCATTGAATCATATTCAGATGGTAATGGGCCCGCGGCCAAAATAAGAGGTACATTGGGCCATTTGATAAACCCGAAGGATCCACCAACTTTTAATCTGAACTTACCCATTTTGGCTAAAGAGAATCAAGATTTCGATGGGTTTGTTATGATAAACTCATTTTTAGTGTACCAAGGACCAACCTCATTTATTGCAAACTTTCAGAGAGATGAAAATACCAAAGCTGTGTTTGATGAGCTCAACAAGCATCTTCATGAGAATACCATGCCAGACAAAGCAGTTTTCAAGTTATCTGCATGCGATGTAAGGGAGTCACCAATGCTGGATAGAACTGCACAATTGGCAGCTGAAATCGGTAAACTTCCTGCGTTGAAACATGTCGAATTATTAATAGAGCATTTTTTTAATACTTGTTATCCTTTAGTCCTGTTTATTGACAAAGAATCTATGGTTCCAAAATTATATCTGCTAATTCAAGACAAAGGTGATTATTGTATTATAAGTCATAGTAAGAGGAAACAGAGAGTTGAGATTGCAATTTTGCTTATCATTTTACGATTTGGATTCATCTCTTTACCTTCTAAAGGAAGAGTTTCCAATTTGAAAATTTCAACATATTATATTGAATGTGCTAGTAGGTTACTTATATCTCTTGTGACATTAAAAATAGTAACGTTTACGACAGTACAGGGGTTTCTACTTTTGCTTGTCTATAGAATGCACTGCCCTGAAGATGATGATTCACTTCATGATGTGGCAATGTTGCAATCTATGATAATTCAATCTGCAAGGGAGATAGGATTAGATAGAAACCCTAAATCGTATCCTAGTCAATTTTTAGATAGCAAAACTATGTATTTTTGGAGAAATGCTTGGATCCACATATGTTATTTTAACACAAGTCGAACTTTTGAACAGGGCCAATGCCCGTCGACGAATATCTCAGCGTCCGATACGTCATTCATTTTACTGAATAATCTCAAATTTCAACAATCGCCTGGAGTATTTCGAAACCTCGAATATATGGAATCAGTATCTCAATCTGTGGGAGATGTAATGTTAAATTTGGTCGATAAAAGAATTGTTGATGAAAGAAGTATCTGTCAATTATTAAAATACTTGAATAGTATACTTGAAAATGATACAAGAACTTTTCGACAGCTACGTACTCAAGATAAGTACATATTGGTGGAAGGGGGGCTTAGTGAAAGAGTAAGAGAATTCATACTAAGATTGGACTTATCTTTCAAGAGCTATTCGTTATATTATTTTTTATACTTGAATTTAAGTGATGATAATGAATTCCAAACAAAGGAGAAAAACCAGTATCTAGCGCTAGCGATTGAAAAAGCTTTGATTCTCTTGAAGGTGAATCATGAATTTTCAAAGGATCCTAGCGCAATGTTTGGTACAGAATATGAGAATATAATAGCTTCTAGAATATGGAGAAACCTGAAGATGGTTCTCTCTTGCGTAATATCTTTAATTGTACGTATTCATGAAGGGAAGTGTTCTTTGAGTGATGCATTTGGATATTTTGATAGTCCTGATTCCTCAGGCTTGATCAGGTGGGCTGGAATTCGATATGATGATGAGAAGCAAACAATGTTGAATATTGCACATGTTTTGGAAGAACTTTATACAAACGGGATGAGTTCGTGTACGAAATTCTATTCCTGTTTTAAGTCTTGTCTATTTATATGGTATGGGGTGCATTACCTTCAAGTTAAATTTCCTGAAATTTTTGCACCTGTGGCGGCTCATAATTGGTCACTAGAAAATTATTTTGCAGATTTATGTCCCTTGGATGAAGTGGGCGAGTTTTGGGATGATCAACATGGATTGAACAGTGCCCCAGATGTTGATCTTTTCTTTTCTAAATTAGGGATAGATTTTGATGACCTTTCAAAAAATATGGACAACGGTTAGTTTTAAGTTTAAAGAACTACTATTGCATATGGTGAAATCGCTGCGAAAAAGTTTAATTAAAGGAAGACACTTTTTCATCGGTATTTTCGCTGGGTAGGCTTCTCTGGAACTTAAGGGGATCAATCAATTTTTAAGAGATTAATGTTTGATTACGATTTCTGCGGAAGATATTTTGTCCAAGTGATGCACATATTATCTTGAATATACATTTAGGGCTCAGAATGTTCTGACGAGGAAACCCGGTGTGATGAATTCTTTTTCTTTGAATGGAAAAAGTAAATTGTGGTATTCAGATGTCATAATTATATTCCTGTAACCGTCAATTCCTTTTACGTTGCTGCATTCATTATGCGCGTTAGCTTAGTTAAGATCTTCGTCGAATGCTTTTGCCTTTGTCACATTCTGACTGTGATTTCTAAGTTGAAGAATACTAGACTTGGGTGAACTGTAAAATAAGGATATTGGTGCTGAAATAATATGACAATAGAGCATATGAATACGAATGTGTACACAAAAAAATTGCAACAGTTTGCTAAATTCTCGAAGGATTGAAAGCGGGATCAGACTTTAAATATGTCATGGAATCTTTTGGCGGCTAGAAGTTAGGTGGCAGCCTATTAAAGCATCCCAATTTTTAACCGCAAATCGACAATGTTGCAGTCAAATTAATCCATTGGAAAACTAGCATCTCTTAATTGAAATATGCAAATATGAGAAGCTCTATATCAATGAAAAAAGACTGTCTATCATAGTTAGAATTTTGTAACTTAGTAATCGAAATTATTTTTAATGCATAGCTCCGCTTGATCAGATCTTTCTCCAATAACATTCTAATCTACCTCATATATCAAAGCAACCAACTCACAATCTTGTTTCTTTTAGGCTCTTTTTCTGTACACGAAGTCTCAACCTCCTCAAGGTCTGACAAAACATCTACGGTTACAGGATCGTAAAAGTTCTCTCTTTCCCGTTTTAAGGCACGCCCTCCAACATATAGTACAATAACAATAGGAATACTAATATACGCAGCAACAAAATTACTCACATTCCAGTTACCTCGAATGAAAACAGTGTAGCCATTTGTTAAACAAAGAATTGTGAAAAATGTCATGGTGACAAAAGCAATCGGATACATGAAACGTGTTCTAAAAGGAACCCTATCATCCAAGCCAAGAAAACTTATTACTTTTCGATATCTGATGTATGTTATTGAAACGAAAATCCAACTTATAAACCCAGATATTGTTGCAATATTGGTAAGCCAGTTAAACACCGTACTTGCAGAATTGGAACAATTAAGATAAGCCAAAAGCGCGATCAAAGACAGTAGTGAAACAGCATAAATAGGAACACCAGAACGGGTTGTTCTCGAAAATATTTTAGGTGCATCACCCTTTAATGCCAATGAGTGCAATACTCTAGATGAAGCGAAAAGAAATGAATTCCCACAACTGAGAGCAGAAGTCAAAATACAAGCATTAATGATGTGATTTAAAACAGGAATCCCAGCATTTTGTATACCGATGACAAAAGGACTTGCCGCTGCGGATGATTTTCCAGAAGTCACCGCATCCATAAGCCTGCTGTCATTAGAAGCAACAATCACACTTATGACAAGAGGTGCCACTGTGAAGAATATCAATAAACGATAGAAAAACTTTGAACACGCTTTTGGCATATTTTCCCTAGGATATTTTACTTCCGAGGCAAAGGAAGTAAGTAATTCCGGAACCAAAATGAAACTAAATCCACTTTTGACTAAAGCTGACCAAAATGACAAAAATCTACCTAGATTTCCTGAAAAGAGGCTGTTTGTAAAGGAGCCGGGATCTTTCCAGTAATGAAAACCCAAGACACCATGCAGATTTGGAGCCCCACCAAAAAAAATCACTATTCCAACAATTATCAAACCTATTAAGCAAATAATTTTTATACTCGCAACCCAGAATTCGGCCTCCCCAAAATATTTAGCTGGAAGCAAGTTGACTGCAATGGTAGGAACCAAAAATATAGTGATAAAAATTGCTGGGTTTAAATCTGTCCAGTACTGTATAACGAATGCACACGCTGTTATCTCCGCAGGTGCGATGATAGCTTGGGCATAAAACAAATTCCATCCCGCTACGAAGGATAAAGACTTGCTGGCATATCTCCTGCTCAATGCATAGAGAGTTGTCTCACCATTCAAAGGAATAAAAGAGACCATCTCTCCCAATTGGTTCATCAAGCTCCATAAAAAGAAATTGGTAACACAAAAAGCCATCACTAGCGGCGCAGGTCCACAAGTACTCAAAGTTGCCCCCGTACCAACGAACAAACCAGTCCCGATCCCTCCCGCAAACAAAATGACCTGCATGTGACGAGTAGAGATTCCTCTGACGGTAACATTATTATCTGCTATAGACGACTCACTGTCTTCAATTACACTAATTTCAAGTTTATTCTTCTGAAATGATTTCAGAGGATTCAGAACAAATCTTTTATGCCACTCATTTTGCTCTTTGTAGCAATAAAACGAATTATTTTCTCAGATGCTTACCACCTAAATATACTATTGAGGAAGCGCTTTAGGTGATAACGAAAATTCATCCTGATAGGCGTATGCAGTCCTAAGCTATTTAGAACTAATTAAGGTGAATGCCGCTTTTGATAACGATAACGATAGTTCTGATAAATATCACAGATTTTGATCGGCACATTTATATGTTGAATTTCAAGAACTCTTTTGAGAAGTACATTAATCCGAGTTTGATATTTCTCATCATGTTGACTGATGAAATTATCAATGGAAATCATAGCTTTGACATAGCTGAGGATATAATATCTTGCGAAGTTTTGCAGCTCTCACAAGTAATTGAGAATGCAGATGGCTTCTTTTCTCATATAAAATTTGATCCATCCAAGCACATCGCTTTTGACGGAAAGGCTCTAAAAGCTGCTAAAAAGCATACTTTCAAGGACCTTGGAATAGAGAAGACACATTGCGCAGTCATTGGTGAGGTAGCTGCAGTTGAGCCTTTTCCATTATTCACTGAAGAAGCAGTCGAAATAATGAAGTGGGAAGTATTTCTGAGACCAGATATCATCCGTGAATGTGGAAGGCGTGTTAACTTGTCTCAAGGCTCGACTTCAAGAGATTTTCAGGTTTCTGGCTACGTTGATAAGACTCTGTTTACGAAAGAAGCCATGTCGCACCCAAAGACTTTAGAGATTTTTAGTACACTAGCAGGTATGAATTTGGCTATACCTCACGTTTTTGGTAGGGGCCATATCAATGCGTCTTTAGCAGATAGAAGGGGAGATCAAAATGCAGAGAGTATAGTTGACAGTCATTTAGTAGAACTTTTGGCCAAGCAGGATGAAGACAAAGAGCATATTCCTAGTTCCGTTCATTGGCATTATGATAGTGTTCCAATGGTATGTGTGTTGATGCTCGAAGCCCCCGAAAACATGATTGGAGGAGAAACATGTATAAAAAAGGGAAATGAAGATGTCGTTAGAATTAAAGGGCCACGTAAAGGTTATGCTACGTTGCTTCAAGGAAGGGTAATAAAACACATGGCAACAAAGCCTTTGAGCAATTCGGATAGGATTTCTCTCGTGCTATCCTTTGTTCCAGGGGATCCTGGAATCGTGGATACCACAGTTGCAGTTTCTGAAAGACCTAGTGCTACACCTTCGTTTTTGAACGATACCTTTTATCCAAATTATGTCAACTATAAATTTAGTAGGATTGAGCAAAGGCTAAAAAATTTTAGGCAGAAATTGATTGAGAATTCTGAAAAGGGTGGTAGATTTGATCAGCTTCATACGATAGATTTTTGCAAGGACATAGAAGAATATTTGAGTGGGGTATACAAGAATTTTGAAGCGATAGATGACGAGCCATACCCCCCAAGCTTATTTTCAATTCCTTACTCTGATCTTTGAATTTTATTTTTATTTTTGGGTAATTTTGAAAGAAAAGCGGACGTTCTTACATCTCATTATCTTTATTAAAGGGTATCTGGATTTTATACTTTAGTCTACCCTATGCTAAGAATACGAAAAATTAGTTTTTTTTTTTAATAATCTGTTTTAGCAGAACATAACGATTCATGGGGTAGGTTTTGGTTCTGAAATTACGGTAGGAAAGTACTTTTTATAATATATGCTGTGTGTATTAAATGCCATTTGTTTTAAATGAGGAAAGTATTTTTTGAGATGCTTGTTCGAATGCTTCTAAATATTCGAATTTTCGAAACAAAAAATATTTCAGAACCCGAGTACTTCCTTTTACTCACCAGTAGTCACTAAATTAGCAGATTAATAGAAATTGACTAACATAATAATGGCCTACCTTCTACTATTCCTCCAAGGCAGCAGTCAGTCAAGATAGATGATGAAGAATGTAGTGCTTAGTGCTAGATATCACTAACACTTGATGAAGATACAAGTCCAAAAGGGCCGGGCCGATTCCTTGCGTTTTACGAAGGAAAACACTTCTTATTTCTTTGATTTGTTGGATTCAGAAAGGAGAGACTAATAGAATGAGAGCTCGTAGCACTTTTGAGAAATCGATAATTTGCTGCTTTTGAGCCTAGGCTTTCTAATCAAACACGCACATGCATTTTAGGAAATAGCCGCGCCTTGATAAGAGATTCTCTTCTAGCGATAAATATAAACTATGTGCTCATAAAGTCAACTTGAGAAAATAGCATTCAGTACAACCACCTTTCGGAAATTTGGGGGAACGCAATGATACCACTCTTTTATTTTGTTGCTTTAGTTCTCTTGGGATGTGTAGCTTGGCTTTTTCCAGCGCTATTCGTAAAAAAAAGGTTCAAAATTGAGAGAAAAAATCTATCAGTAGCTCCTGTGGATGATTATTTCAACTGGAAAGTAGTTCAACCTACAATAAGTCTTCCTTTTAAAAAGTCCTATGCTATGAGTATGGGGATACGCCGCTGTGCAGTCGAAGACTGGCTCCTAATCGAAAATACGTACCTAGCTCGAGTCAATGAACGTAAAAGAATTGTCAAGAGTCATAAAAATCAAACAGTTTATTCCCATGAAAGCAGTTTCGATGCAATTGAAGAGCTCTATTCAACAGTGATCACATTCCTTGCATCACGTTACCCCAAAATATTTTACCAGAATGACAAGGATGCATCAATGATCCAAAATTCTATCACAGGAGAAGAAATACCTCTTTCTACTAAAGGAACAAGTGCAGATCAGCAGCTCTTGAACTTGAGTAAATCAGTTGAAGAAGATTTCTTACTTTTAATTAAGGATCCTCTCGACAACAATATATATAAGTTGAGAGGCGGTGTATGGTGCTTTCCTAATGGATTTGACCCTGCAGAAAAGTTCAACAGAACGATGAATGAGATTCATTCACCAATCCCTCATCTAAACGAAAAGTTGGGATTATCCATAGACCGTTTTTTTGCAAGGATGAAAGATGGATCCTTCGTCTCCAGAAACAACTGGGCTGTACAGACTCATTCAAATTTGTTTCTGATTTCAAACACTCACTCCTATTCGCACGACGAAATCATTAAACCTCTTACTCTTGACGATGTAGATTTGAGTGAGATATATGTGAGAAGCGAATATCAAGTCTTAACCAAGTTACCAAAATCTGATGCCATAGTATTTACAATTAGGGCATATATGTTCACATTGTCACAAATCAAAGAGCAAGGGTTGGGTAATGCCTTTTGCGATGCTATCGATGGTCTCCCAGAAAGCTTCGGCATTTACAAAAGACGTCCGGAATGGAAACAAGTAATTAGAGACTATCTTTTGAATACAACGTTAGTATAGTTTTATAGGCATATTTAGTATACTGAAAAAGCCTATTAAAGTGTAACGACCTGTATTCAATAAAAAGTGCGTGCCCTAGAATATATGCAAGGCGAGTATTTGATTATTCATTGTCAACCATGCAAAAAGAAGGCTTCATACCATGGGAGATTTTGTATCTTACGAAGCTTCAAGGAATACAGCTAGCTCAAAATGCAGCAACTTTCACCAGAAGGCGGTGAAGACGACGCATTTTTATGGTAAACGTTCCAGAAGCTCTATTATATGCTTGAACTGCCGTCAAAAGAAGTAAGTAAGTAAACACGATCTCTTCATAGCAAGAAGCTAACTTATTTGATACAGAAAGAAATGTGGTGGGGAACGCCCTACTTGTGATCGATGTAAAAAGTTGAATCAAATCTGTATTTGGGATGATAAAGGTCATAGGGGTAAAAAGCAGTCTCAACAAAAAAATAAAGACAGTGAAGATGCTAGCCTTATCGATTTTAGCTTAGATCAGTCTTTAGTCAAAAGTGATAGAAGGGATGCAGGTGCTGAAAAAGAAGAAGAAGAACTTCTTGATTTTAATTCGGAACTACCATCGTTACCTACGTCCCTTTCTTCGCCCCCTCAGCGTTCTTTACGATACATATCATATTTGGATGACGAAGGACTTAAATGTATTGAGTATTTCCAACTAAAGGTTTCTAAATTAATAACGATTTGCCCAGATAAACACAATTACTTGGTGAAAACATATATGCCGTTGGCAATGAATAATAAGTCTATTCAATTAGCCTTGGCAGCTTATGGCTCAGTATTTATGAATGAAAATCCAGATAACTTGAATTACAAAGGTTATTTAAAGCGTGCAACAAAAGTGATTCAATCATCTGGCGCCTATTTCGAAAACATTACAAAGTCTGATTTCTATATTCTTTTGTGCTTTTTTTTGATAATGCTAGGCACAGAAGTGTGCTCAGGGGATACCCATTATGCACCCATATTCCTTGAGCAGTGCAAAATCTTGATCAGAAATCGAGGGGGGATCTCGAAAGTGATTCTTGAGTTTGAATTCTCCAACTCAATGAAGTGGCTTCTCTCAAATATTCAATACCACGATATTTTATCATCGCGATCTGCATTGAAGGGATGTGAATTAATTGATGAATATAATGATGTTTTTAAACACCAAAAGTTATTAGATACATGTGACTATGGTATTGATCCATTTCAAGGATCTATTCAACCAATCTATTTGATACTTGGAGGAATAATAAATGAAAGTGTCAAACTCAGGCATGAATGGAGACAATTGGAGGAGATGTCAAATAATTTGGAATATGGCGTTATTAAGCTGAAGGAATTCAATGAAAACTTGAATAAAATATTTCGCTTAAGACAAAAGTTTTTTGAAAAGATTGAAACACTCTCCCTGGTCTATTCCGAGAAAATTTCTCGTTGCCAACCTAATGGAAGGCAATTTGCTTCATTACTAGATGAAAACGAAATTTTAGATGATCATGTAATGTTTTTCAACCTTTTTAGGCTCTGCTGTCGTTTGTATCTCAACAATAATATCCGAAGGCTACCTCCATCTTCATCTGAACAACAAGGTCTTTTGTACAAAGCTTTGAATATAATTGACGAGATAATCGACACACGATTGGTGACATGTATGGGATTTCCTCTAGTGATTTGCGGAATGGAATGTGTTTCAAAAATCGATCGAGTCGCGATGATCTATAGGATAGAGAGATACATGACTAAATACAAAGCAAAGAACCCCATATGGATATGTAATATTATAGAGGATGTCTGGGTAATGAATCCTGATGGAAATTTGTGTCTAGACTGGGCTGAAGTTGTTAAAGATATGAATTGGGATGTCTTTTTATCTTGATGCGTCACCTTACAAAGTTTGGAAGTACCAAAGGCGAAGTTCGGTATGGCGAGGATGATGTTTTGTTGGTTATAGATATTATGAGTTGGCTGATAGGCGAACATTACATTCTTTGACTATGGCCTATCCTATACAACTTTTAAATTTAAGAATTTACGCGTCATTATAGATGAGACGTATGGTTAACCTAAAGGTGTGTAATACCGGTAAATTGGATGATACTGAGGTCATTATAGTGTATATCAGCAACAAAACCCAAGAGTGAAGAGACACTTGAAAGAATTGAAGGGTTTTGAGAAAATCTATTTGAAAACTGGGGAGGAGAAGGAAATTGCCCTCTTCTTTATCTTGAAAAAAGGCGACGTTATACTGTGATAATTATGAAAAAATAGCTTTCGGAGAAAGATGCATATAGTGATTTGCAAGGAAATAGCTCTAAAAGCATTTTCTTGTGACACCATCCAGTTCAGGGCAACCTGTTTGTTTTGGTGGATCGACGTTCGAGTTTCTGAAGCTTTCTTTTTAAAAAGCTACAGAATAATCTCTCAACATGCCTAGAAATTTTTGAAGAATAATTCTGATGCCATAGAGCAATGCATATTTCCTCTTCTTATGTTCTCCTAAGACAAAGAAATTGCCTTTCCTGTTCCAGCAATTTGACAGATATCTTGAATATAAAGTACACTACATTTCGTTTGAAGATAGTGTACTTCGAGTTCCTAATTAGTTACGAAACTGCGAGTCTAGTTCTTCACTGGTGATAAGCAATTTCGTTTAGTTCAGGCAATTCGAAATCAAGCTCTCTTTAAGATTGAACTTCTTGGCATGTATCAATGAACATACTTTGCTGTATACCATGACTCTTCATCCAAGAATATATTTTTAATAAGATATGGTAGCTGAAGAGAGGAATCTAAAATAAGATGCTTATAACTATAGATCGGTAACTATAAGAAAAAAATCAATCTTCTCTAGCCTCAGGGATCGATCTTTCTTTCGACTCACTTATAAAACCTCTTTGCTCTTTTACTTTACATTGTATAACTTTAAGCATGTCTTAAAATAATGATAAAGTTGGTACCTTTATATCATCATGTTTGGCAATACGGACAACATTTCCACAAATAACCTCTAGTTCAATGTAATTACCTTTTCTGAGATCGACCAACATGAAAGGCGAATAATAATATACACCATCATCTGCTCTTAGCATAAATTCCATGACGTCTTCAGGAATGTGAATGTTTTCAGACTCTGCAACTTTCAAGACTTCCCTCATTGCTCTTCTTATAATAGTTTCATTACCACCAAAAAGTTCTAATCTTCCAGTATCAACACCAAGTATTGTGCAAACACAATTCAAGGTTGCGTTATAAACCAACCTGCGCCATCTCGTGAATTGAACGTTGTCGTCATAGAAGAATTTATTATTTTCATTCGAATAAATCCTGATGAAACTATCAGCAGCATCTTTCTGCTTACATCTTTCAATATTGTGATTCAAGAAATATCCAATCTTTAAGTTGGCCAACATGATCAATTTTTCCTCTATTATTGGTAGACAAAATCATGCTGACACCACTCATGACTATACTAGATGGAAACCTTTTAATACATGCTCCTTCAATTCCAATGCCGTTTTGTATGAGCACAATAACTGAGTTTTTAGTAACTGTTGGTGCAATTATATCCTCCACTTTGTGGATATCAGGTAAATTCTTAGTAGTAACGACAATAAAAATAAAAGGGCCAAACATTACAGCATCTTCTACGCTTCGGGCAATATTTGAAGGTATGTAAGAGGGTATGTCACCATAGTCGCAAGAAATGATCTAAAAGCCCTTTGTGGCGACAACCTCGTAGTCAGAACTTATCACCGCAGTCACCTCTGCTTTACACAAATACTCAAGTCCATAAGCTGCAATTGTACCTACACCTCCTGAACCAATTTTTAAGAACCTTCGATCTTGTCATTACTCTCTTTTCGCTTTTATGAAAAAAATCAAGCGCAGGCAGATTATTTCTTTATTTCACTTGAAAAAATGCTGGTATCAAGTTCTTCGACTTTTTCATGCATCTCCTTTAATATAAGTAAAGCGCTAACTACCTAGTTAAGAATATGATAACAAATTTTGTACGCTATCTATACTAACATCGCGATAGATAAGGAATATGCAACCCTCACAACATGGTCTTGACTTGAAAAAAGAAAAAAAAAATTCAAAGCGGCATTTACATTATAGCATATTACTGCCTTTAACTACACATTTAATATAACACTTACTTATATTAATCTCTAAATAAAAATGCTCCAGCTGAAGCCTCAAGTTCGAATATATCATCCTAAATACCACTCTAGACACTTCTCAAGGTACTTCTCAAGGCACTTCCCTAGATACTTCGCGGCATGAATTCATCGCCACCATCACGCAGCCTTTCCCTCAGTCACCGATGATAGCTTGCAGTTGATATAATGGATTTCATTGACCAGAAATATACTGTATATAGACCCACTCTGTAACAATTTCTTCAGACAATGCTCTCCATAACGATCTCGAATCCTTGACACCATCCTTGACACCAGAAGAAATTGCGGTAATAATATTATCCTTGACACCAGCCGTCATCCCACAATAGTATTTACGAGAGTAACTTCATCTCCCTGTTCGACATCAGACTTGCCTCTTAACTGCAAAATAAAAAATTGACAGGCGATAAAGCATAATTTACTATAGCTTGAGAATCCAAAACCAAAAAAAAAGAGGAAAGCATTTTTCTGCTTCCTCGTTCATGGCCTCCAAGAAGATAAAGGACAATTTCAAATTCGATTCCCCTTTTAATGTTTTAAGGTATTTTCATTCATTTACTGAACTTCAGTTAATTCTCTGTCATAATAGAAGAGATACACATGGCATCACAGAGTATCAAAGCCACGATGAAAGAAACAACCAAGGCTTTTAAAGAGCTGTAACACGAATAGCCATTAACATTATAGTACAGCGATAAATGCTCATCGATGGCCCCACCTGCTGCAAACCCAAATGGGGTAACAAATCGTTGAAACTTTATTCGTGAAGTGGTTACAAGAGACTCATTTTCATGAGAGAGGTTGCTTTGCATCATCACTAGAGGTTTATGGAATAGGGCAGCAACCACCGCGACGCACCCAACTGCTATGGTAACATTATAAAACATATCTTCCGAAATCATAGAAAATACCTACTATGATGATCCAAATCAGCGTTCCTGTAAGTATGAGAGGCTTTACGCGTCTTATAAGTAGAACTCCCGCTGCAATAAAATGCACAGCACCATATGAAATACATAATGGAACAATAATAATGAGGAAGGGATCGATCCAATTTGGCAATGGTAATCAATATGATTCCTCAAGCTTTGCTGTGGTACAAAGGAAGTAAGTTGATAGAAAAAATTGATTAATGGGAAATATTTCCAATTTGAATAGAAACTCTGAGGGTATAACGGAGGTCCTATTCAAATACTTCGGATACTTTGCGAAGATAGGTATCAATGCTACTCCAGCTACTATGAGCGCGGTATAATACAGTTCTTGCCCTGAGTCGTTGAGTTCCCAGCCAATTCGAGAGGTATAATAATAAGTCCAATAAATGCGATCGCTATTATTAAACCAGTCATATCCGTTTTCTAAAAAAATTGATTTAGATAGCATTTGTACTTATGCTGTTGACCCCCTTATACTGGAGACCTGTCGAGGTCGAGACCCACTGATTTGTCTTAGATGCCTCGTTATGCAACATACCATGCAACGCAAAAAAGGAATATTGGACAGAGGAAATATTATTGCAAACATTCCGATTTCCCATCTTGTTCAATCTTCTTGAAGGAGAGACATCGGAGACTATAAGACAATGAGAAGTAAAGTTTCTGGAAAAATGATATAAAATAACCTAAATTTTAAGCTTGGTAAGTCTGAAAGTATAATGAGAAGCGTAAAGGTGACGCCAACAAATCCCAAACTGTAAAGACGGAATCAATTATTGATGTAGCCAAGCTTTTGGTAGCTGCATGAACTATAATTCTAATAAGGCAGATTGGTAGCCGGAATACACCTCCAAAGGGCAAAAGACATCGGCTAATCTAGCGAACAGCAACGGGCCTGCTGTCTTAACAAATACGTTAATTACATCAACAACTATGATCAATCTGTCATTTGCTGTATGCGGTACCAAAGAGGAACGCTGATAAAAGACAACCTCTAAAGGAGTATTATTTGCTTGCGAATAAAAAATCTCAGATCTTATTACACCATAAAAGATATATGTAATGTGGGACAGATCCTGACATAGAATAAAATTATGAAAGAAGACATAAGCATTTTCTCACATAGTGATATTACTAAACGACGCGCATTTAGAGAAAGCTGCCATTTAAAATTAGAGCCATAATTGGATTCTTGATTTTGTATGATGCAGGTACTATCTTCAATTTCATTTTACAGAAATTGTAAGTAACCGATAAAACCGGGTAGAGGTCAAGCGATCTATGAGGTGAAATGCTAACCTGAATGATACCCGATAAATCCAGTTCTCAGACTGTATATAAAAACCAAAGCCCGAAAACCCCGAATCTTACATCTCATATGTAGGCTCCACAACAGTCGAAAGTATTATATAAGCTTGACATATTTAAATTCTTGAGAGCAACTACAAACATAGAAGAAAAGTATTCACATCAAGAATTTCAAATGACAAAAAAAATTTTCCTTTCTGGCGCCACTGGTTTTATTGCTCAACATATTGTAAAGCAGTTGCTTGAGAGAGGATACTATGTAGTGGGTACTGTCAGATCTAACGAAAAAGGTGATAAATTGAAGAGTTTACTCAATTCTGAAAGGTTTAGTTATGAAGTCGTTAAGGATATTCAGTCAGAAGGGGCATTTGATGAAGCTCTTAAGAGGCACCCTGATATAAATGTTTTTTTACACACCGCCTCTCCTTTTTACTTCGATGTTACGGATGTTGAAAAAGACCTTCTCCTTCCTGCAGTATCTGGCACTTCAAATGCTTTTAAAGCAATCAAGAAATATGGCACAAATGTCAGAAAAGTTGTGATTACGTCGTCTTTGGCTGCGATAATTGATATGAATCATTTTAATGACCCTAAATTCAAAGTAAATGAAGAGTCTTGGAATCCAGTTACTTGGGAGGATTCCAAACTGAATGCGCTTTTTGCATACTGTGGTTCTAAAGCCTTTGCTGAAAAAGAAGCATGGAAATTTTTGAGGGAAGAAAAGCCGAATTTTACCTTGAGCACAATAAACCCTGTTTATGTTTTTGGCCCGCAAGCGTTTGATCAAAATGCAAAGGGAACTTTGAACACTTCTGCAGAAATCATTCAAACCTTGCTAGGTTTAAAGCCCAATGATCCTGTTCCTGATGTCTCTGGCCAATTCATCGATGTTAGAGATGTGGCCAGGGCCCATATCGAAGCATTCGAAAAAGACTCTCTTAGTGGAAAGAGATTGCTTTTGTCAGAGGCAAATTTCAATGATCAGATACTTTTGAATATTATCAACGAAAAATTTCCCAAGCTTGCTCATAAGTTACCTGTCGGGAAGCCGGAAGCTACCAACTTATCTCTTGCTGTAGTCGATAATACTGCAACAAAAAGTCTTTTAGGTTTTAAGTTCAACGATTTAGAAACGTGCGTAATTGACACTGTCAATCAATACTTGAGAGTGAATAACTTATAGGTATATATTTTTGCTTTGAAAATACATTCAGCGTAAAATTGAAATATGCTTTTTTACCATGTTAATATACTTTGAGATCTTTTATAAGGATCTTTTGTTTACTTTCATTCTTATCGTACTACATAATAATAGCACTTACACAAAGAGAAACGTGACTAAAATAAGAGAGATCAGTAACCAAATACGACTGGGGCGTTGACTCTCGAAAGAAGTGCTTTGTGAACAATCACCATGTAAATAATTACTCTATTAAGCCAGACCAAACATGTGCTTATAGAAGCGATACATATCCTCGTCATAAACCTCTTTGGCTTCCTTCATAATCTTGTTGAAACCATCGCTTCTCATCCAGGACCAGCCAAAAGCGTTCAACATGGCTTTGTTGGCTCTCACCATTTGCTCACTGCTGCGAAATATGTAGCCTGTATTGAATCTCTTTGTTAACTCTTGGTTGACGGCCTTCCTCATTCTCTCCAAGCAATTGCTTTATTCAGATGAAATATTCCGCAGAGATGAGTGTCGGGATCAATTATCTAATCAATGGTTTATTTATTTTTCATGTAAAGAAAAAGCAACCTGATCAGAAAGCTTCCTGAAGATCACTTCTTTGAATTTTTCACAATAATAGAGATAATGTAATATTACAGTTTATAACCCTTTCCATGGACTTATACGGAAAATCATTTCAACTTCCTGGACTACGATCAATTTTAAATTCTTATGAGCTCTAATTAGATAGGATATTGAAATAGGATGAATGATCTTTTCGTCATAGGCAATAAATTTTAATACAGCGAAAATAGCCAATAATCAAGCTCATTTTGATGATGCCAGTTTGCTCTAAATGGTAAACCAAGCTGATATACATTTAGAGCTTGAAAAAGAAGATGTGATGAACCAAGCACACCCTAAGCAAAGTCGATGGCACTACCGATAGTGTTGACAAGCCATGTACCTTTTTTTCATTTTGGATATCAAGTTCCCGTCAAGAAATCCTTCAGTTTTCCCTTGTAACAGACCATTGGTTGCACCTCCTTGAGATTATCCTTCTTCATCAACCATTTCGTAGATATTGTCTCTTGAATACGTAGACCAATTAAGGCATCCATGCACTATGAATACGCTAAGATGTGTTGAAAATTTAGATTGACTGCACATGCTGATTTAACTTAATGTCACGAAGGCACTACTTCAAAGTCGCTTTCAGCAATCACCCATCTTCTGTTCTACATGAAGTGTATATATGTACATAGTACGCTGGTGTCGGCACACTTTTGCTCATACCTATGGGCTTTACACGTCTCTGGTTATTTTGGACTTATCTTAGAGCTATGCCTTACTTTGAGGAATTTACTCTTCAAATGAATCATTTGATGGAATTTGTCTGGCTGGATGTGTAATTAATCACCAAGTCACAATCAGAAAAATTATGAAATAGTGGAATTCCAGAAATTTGATTTATGGACTCGATGAGAATATAGTGGCATATTAAATACACATGACATAGCAATTAGCTTTTGATGAGTTACTAAATAAGAAATTTTGGCACAACAGAGCATCGTAATGATGTACAACAATAACAAGCGTACGGCTTCGGATGGGCTTATCTTGCCACACTGGTATTATCTGCAGAACTTAATTTGATAACGTCAGCCTTGGTAAATCTAAAAAGAAGTTTTTTCCGGATTCAAAGTTCGAAATGAAGTTTAGAAGTGACAATGTACTTGAGAAAATAATAGAAAGTTGCACACTAGGTTTATTCCATGCGTAATCGACGTTATTTTGAATTTAAAACATTGAACAAAAGACATTTGACAGGTCTTGTGCACTAGACAGCCATTTGGAAATTTGTCGATCTTCCGTATAATTGTTACGTGAGACGGCGATCGAGGATTACGCGAAATTCTATTATTATCACGTTTGAGCCATAGGAAATGAATTTGTGCCCCAGGGACCCTGGTTTCAAATAGAGCTCAAATCCTCCGCTTCTTGAACATAATTTGAATTTCAGATTCTGTTTTGTATGATAAAGAATGAGCCCACGAAATAGCCTCAAAAGCATAGTGAAGATGGCTAAACCCGATACTGAAGTATCGAAAAAACTAGGTGATTTGGATTATGAAAATAGCATCCATAATATTTCACTGAACACAAATAAAAATATAGCTAATATTGTTAATGCAGAGGAGGAAAGAACGCTAAATCATTGGTATGATGGGTTTGTTCGTCTATTTATATGGTACCCCTCATCTTTAGATAAGAAGGAGAAGATTTTATTATTGAAGTTAGATATTTGTATTCTCACTTATGTCTGTTGTTCTTATTTTACAAAATCATTGGATAAGTCTAATATCACTAATGCTTATGTTTCGGGGATGGAAAATGATATTAATTTTGGGGGTGATGACTTGAGTTATGCTAAATCATTATATTCCGCCGGTTATATAATTTCTATGTGCTTCGGAATGCTATTTGTTACGAGGCCTTGGGCACGTTATATGCTTCCTGTTTTAGAGTTAATTTGGGGTGTTTTGACTTTCTGTGGAGCTGCTGTCAGGAATCCAAGTGATATGTTTGCATTAAGGTTTTTAATCGGGTTAGCAGAGGGTCCCATATTTTGTTCAGTGGTACATATTTTAGGATCTTGGTATAAAAGAGATGAGATATATCGTAGGGTAATGGTGTTTTCTATTTCTTCAAGTCTAGGTGGGATGTTTTCGGGGTACTTGCAGTCGGCCGCATATGTTCATTTAAGTGGCAAAGGTGGATTAGGAGGATGGAAATGGGGTTTCATTATTGACGGTATTCTTACTGTTCCTATAGCTTTGATTGGTTTTTTTGTTTTTCCGGGTGCACCTTATCAGGTCAAGAAATTATGGTGGCTCTGTCCCGAAGATATACAGCTTGCAAATGAAAGGACTAAGATCTCAGGTATTGCAGCTCCTGGTTCATTGAATTTAAGTTTGATAAAGAGAGTCTTTTTAAGATGGCATGTGCATTATTTTACTGCCTTTTGGGTTCTATTAAATGTTGTAGCTCTAACCGATGGCACTGCATTTCCATTGTGGTTGCTGGCAAATTCCCCTGACCGATTTTCTGTGACTCAAGTTAACAATTATCCAACTATTCAAGCAGCAGTAGGAATTGTTGCACAGTTCTTTTTTGCAGGACTTTCAGACACTTTTTCCATCTACCCTTTTTTGATAATTACCCAGTGTCTATTTATAATTTCGTATTCGTCATTAGCAGCATGGAATATCCCTGATGGATGGCGGTGGGTATGCTATTTGATTATCGGTTTTGATGGAGTGAATCAAGCAATAATCTCCGGTTGGATCAATAGAAGTTGTAGACACGATAATGAAGAGAGAGCTTTTGTCCTTGGGTTTTCTGATGCTGTGTCTCAAGCAATAAATGTTTGGACGAACATCGTGTTCTATCCCACAAGTGATGCTCCAAATTTTAGAAAAGGATTTATAGCATCCTTAGTAGCTGCAATTTTGATGTTGTTTTTACCAATTTTTGGGTATATGGGAGATAGATTCGACCGGAAACAACTTCAAAACTCTGTTGAAAATGACTCTATCGCTTCAAATGTTCAAGAAATAGATATCATATCTAAAGAGAAAGAATGAAGAAAGAAGAATATTACGAGTTGAAGTCCTGGTCCTGCTACTGAGGAGCTGCGTTCGCATTTGAATAAACTCTACAAGTCTATATATTTTTCATAATAGATCCCGAGTTGTTAGTTTCAATGAAGTCTTCATTTAAATAAAAAAATAACTACTTAATAGGTTACAACAATGGCTGTATAAAAGGCATAAAATTGGATCACTCTCATTTTAAAAGAGGATCGTAAGAAGATTCATCATCAACACAAATTTATATTGTTTGAAACAGTAGGGAATTGGAAATTAACTCTTTTATATTAATATAGTCATTAATTATTGATTCTGTGTGATTATAATTTTGTTCTGCAGATTTCCTTTTCCATCTTGGTATTCCAAAGGTGCTGCCGCAAATCCTTAGATATCAATCTACGCGCACTAGATTTTCTTGGGCGAAATATATGCTTTTAATACGATAGGCAAGAAATTATAATTGCAAAAAATGTTTTGGCCGAATTATACTATTAATAGCACACTGTGAGTAAGCCTCGATCCATAGTGAAAAAATGGATTGATATCTCGCTATTTGGTCCTGTATCCTTAATTAATATGCGAAGCAAAAGAGTTTGATGTTTCTCTCGAAACATCTTTTTCACCCTTTCAAAATGTCAATTGAATAACGTTAATGTCGCTAACTATTTTAGAGCCATGTTTTCTGAACCTTAGTTAGTATAATTTTAATGTTCTCGCACCCTGGGTGTTATTGAATTCATCACAAATCTATACTATCTGGAATGTTAATATCAACTGTCCAATTTTTTTCCCGGATTTTGGAGTCTAATATTCTGAAGTATTTCAGCAAATAGTCAATCTTTCTAGTAAAGCTCATTAATATCGACTATCGAAACCACTTTAATTTCCGACCTTGTGTTTCTGATTCTCGAGAACTAGAAGCTCTTGACGTATTGCGATACATCTCTATCAACTTTTTGAGTTGTTCCCGCTCTGCTAGTGCCTCTGTCATGACGTGACGTCTCGCACTGGTTGTTGAATTGACAATTCTCTCTTTAAAGTGATCAATACTAGACCAGTCCCTGTTGTCGTAACAAGAAGGGTATTCTATGTAGACTTTTGAATTTGTTTCATTTATCAAAGTTATGAGCTTGAAAGAACAGGTTCCTTTGATCTCGAAAGATAACTAACGATACTATTCAGAGATGTGGCCAAGATTATTAATAATTGATCGAGTAGTTATAATAATAATTCAAATGGTGTATTTAGTGTAATAGAAACAGTTTTTATGAAGACTTGGGACGCCTATTATCAATATCTCTTACGAGTGCGATGATTGTGATCATTGAGTGCCTAAATCCTTGATTGTACGATCGGTATTCTTTCTCGACTATTTTAGTATTTCTCTCTTTTTCTTTTTGACAATCCTGATTGGAGGCTGTGAGGGATCGTATATAAAATCTGACTTCTAGTTACTTCCTCCCTCATTGCCAATGATTACTGCTCTTTCTTAGAATCTCCAGGGTTATCATCTGGTCTTCTCTCATCAATTATTACATGAAGAGTCAAATAAAATAAGTCAACTATAATGAAGAACTTCTTGTGAGAAGTTAGTAGGTATTCTTGAAA